ACTTAAATCTAGACTCGGCGGCTTAGCAGCTGTGGGCTTAGCACCAGGTTTTAGGCTGCTAAAAATTGATTATGAATTTGTCAAGGGATCAATCATCATATTTATCACTGCTGATCCCAGAGAGGCAAAGAGAAGGGGAGGAAGAGGGGCAGAGAAGGGCAGAGATCAAAAGACGGAGAGCAGGGAGACTGAGGACACAGGGAGTCCTTTCAATCTGTCTACCATGAAATTCTGTAAAGTTTGCAAATGTAGCAAAGACTCAAGATAAAGCCCCTGTTTTTGGAGATTCAGTGTCCAAATCTGTTGGTAATCCCTACTATCAGTCAGAGGAGGTATCTACTAGGTTCTTACTGGTAAATTAAAACCTTAGTGGGATGCTTCCATGCACCAGGCACAGGACCCAGACGCACTCCCTCAGCCCATCTGTGTGACTTTAGCCCAACAGAGATTGTTGTCCTTGTCTTCCTGTGGCTCTGAACAAGAGACCCCACCTCCCCCACACATACACCCACAGCTTGCCTTCCTGGAGATGACCAGTTGCATGATTTCATCCTAGTTCATCAGCAATTTTATATGCTATGACCATAGTATATCACCCTCAACATGGTAATCTCGTGCTGAAAATGTGGTTAGTCGTCAATGTAATGGCAAGAAGTCACAACCCCTATGATCCCTATTATTATTATTATTGTTTTACAACGGAATATTCCTTAAAATGCTAATAGGAACATAAAAGGAAAAGTGTACAACCTTAATCCTTGCAGGATCTTTGAGAGTTGCTAATAGCCTGCCATCCAGCTCAGGTTGCTGGAAAAGTTTTTGGTAAAGTTGGCCAAATTGGTAAATCATTTAAGCCACCTGTTCATTAGCAAATCGGCTCCTTGAGAATTGCTTTTTGGAGAATGACCTAGAAGGACAGGTAGATGCTTTTCTACCTCAGAGATACCTGTGCTCCCCTCTTTGACTACAGCGACGGGCTCCTGAGATGGAGTGTGAGTCTTGCCTCGCAAGTACGACCTGAGATTCTGGCAGGTCCTGCAAGTGGGTCTAAGGTAGGGGCTTAGGAACCTGGACTGAACCTGACTGTCTCGTGCTGACGTTCTCTTGACTCCTCCAGCCAGAGGAGGACCTTACCCACCTAGAGGTGCTGGAGGCTCTGGAGGCCGAGTTACCCGGCGCCATGGAGAGCGGGCGCGTGAGCAGCATCCGCTTTGAAAATATGAATGTCATCTGTGGAACTGCGGGGCGCCGGGACAGGTGAGCCTGCGGTCCCGAAGGAGCGAGAGAGGCGTGGCAGGAGTGGGAGTGAGGGGTGTGGCCTACTGAGGGCGGTGGGGAGGGGCCAAGGCGCTGAGTGGGCGGGGCCGGGAAGGGAAGACTGTGTGGTCTGGAGGAGGGCCTGATGGGTGCAAGGGCGGGACGATGGGGCTGAGAGTGAAGTGAAGCGGGAGGGGGCTAGAGCCGAGAGTGAGAGCCGTGAAGGGGGAGGGCCAGGTGAGATCTGAGAGAAGGCGGGACCTGGAGTGAGGAAATGGACGTTGAGTGACCCGGACAGGTAACACCGAGGTGTGGGGTCGGAGCCTGGACCCATCACACTGAGGGAGTGGGGACCAGGAGAGATCTAGAGGGTCAGAGGCCTGGAGTGTCTAGCTGGGGGCGAGGCCAGGAGAAACCTAAATCTGGGGACAGGCCTGAGAGACACACTGAAGGGGGCCCGGCCCTGGAACGGCGGCTTGAAGAGATGGAGTCTCGACAGACCACAACTGGGGGACAGGACCAGGCTGAGAGAAGACGGGACCTAGAATGACCCGCGTAAGGATCAAAGTACGGGTTGACTTCGGCGAGACGGCAGGGCTGCTGAGGGGTTTAGGGACAGCGCGACGAGCTGAGCAACCGCAGTGGGTAAACGAACGGGGAGGGACCAGGCAGGGACCCTCCGACAATCAAAGGAGGGGCTGGGACCACCAGCGATTCCTTTCGGTCTCCGCCCCGTCCCTGTCCTCTTGGCCCCGCCCCCTCGCAGGTGGCTCATCACGGTCACTGACTTCCAGACTCGCTCGCGTCTGCTGCGCTCCGGCATTCGCCTCCGCGGGAACGCACACCCGCTGGTGCGCCACGACGAGCTGCTGCTGGCGGATTACCGCCTGCACCTGCGCCGCTCCCTTGTCCGGCGGCGCATGCTCGAGGCTCTAGGGGCGGAGCCGACCGAGGAAGACTAACATTTAGAGGGCGGGCCCCGGCTGCGCACGCACACCGCCCCGCGGGCTCGGGCGACCCACCCGGAACCCCCGAGGGAAGGGGGCGTTGCCTCCCCAGGAAGGAGGCGGGGCCGGCTCGAGGGGATGGATACTGTGAGTTTAATTATAAAGAATGACCTGGTACAAAAGCCATTTCTCTCTGCAAAATTTTGGTGGGGAGTCAGGGGGAGGGAGGTGATGGGGGGTAGGGATGAACCCCCATAATATAATCCCGCCTCCCTCATCTTCCCCCAGTCCCTGCAAATGGACGCCTGGGTCCCAATCCCTTGAATGATGAACTGAGGCTCGCGAGAGCGAAGACCCGGGCGCCGGGGCTTTCAATCCATGCCCATCCGTCTCAGCGAGAACCAGACGTCCTCATCCGCCCCCCTCCTCTTTTCTCCCACCCCCCTTGGAAGACAATTCTCGGGCTTTTATTTCAGGTTTTTTTTTTTTTTTTTTTGTTTTTTTTTTTGTTGTTTTTTCTCTTTTTTCCTTAGTCTCCCCCCCCCCCCGCTGCCCCCTTCCAGTCCCTCCCCCCTCCCCCCCCGACCTCCTCCCCCCCCACCCCCTACACCCTCCCCAACCCCGCGGCACCCATCCAAAATGAACAAGCCCTTGATAGACGGGTGCCGCGCAGGCCCCCTGCGGGCGGGGGGCATCCGACAAGGGGGAGGGGGCGGGTAGGGGCCCAGCATGACCTCTGCCCCCTCCTTGCTACCCCTCCCCCCTCCCACGACCCTCCCACAAGGTTCCCCGCAGATCCCTGACGTGGTGAGGGGAGAGGGCTGCAAGCACCCTCCCCCCCCATGGACGGAGCGCCCCCCCCTCGGGGGTAGGAGGCAGCAGAGAGGGAATGGGCTTGGGGAAAGGAGGGGGAGCTCCCTTCTTTGGCAGCTGAACATGGGGGGGGACCTGAGGGCGATGCCCTCCCCCCTTTACCCACAGTAGTAGAGGGGGCTTCCCAGGGGAAGGGGTGGCTTAAAATTCCCAAGCCCCAGGAATAAAGGAAGTGGGGAAGCGTGCAGGAAGGGAACAGCCATGCTGGAGGGAGGAGGAGTTCCTTGGAGAAAAGGAAAGGTTTGGAGGGGGAAGGATCTTCATGCAAAATGGATGGAGAGATGGTCTAGGAAGAGTGAGAGGAGGGGGGGATGTGCAAGAGGCCACAGACTGGAGCAGGGAGAAGAGGAAGCTTGGAGGCACGGTGAGCAAGAGGGGAGTGTGCATAGGGTCTTCTCTTGCCAGGAGAAAGGAGTATCCAAGAGGTGAGAAAACAGGCAGGGTAAGAATGTCCGGAAGAGGTGTTCCTCCACAGGCACAAAACAAGGATGCTAGGAAAAGAAACGACAGTACAGCCCAAGAGTGTGTGGAAGGAGACAAGTGTGCAAAAGGAGAGAGACGGTTGAGTTCCCCCCAGGGAGACTGAAACAGTCCGGGAGCCAACAGGAACAAGGAGAGATTCAAGGATGAGTGTGCAGCAAAGCCACCGTGTGCAGAAGCATTAGAGAAGGAACGTGGCTTCAAGAGAACGGCGGAAGAGCTGGGGAGGACAAGTGCGCAAGAGTTGAGTGTGCGAGAAAGCTCACAAAAGAGCTGAGAATGAAGCAGGATACAGATCTGGAAAAGAAGGGTGCACAGGAGTGGGAACCTGGCAAAGAGGAAGGGAATGAGAGAGAAGCAGTTCCTGGGAGGCAGGTGTGCAAGATGTGGGAGATGTGATGGTGTGAGGAGGGGAGGGGCAGGGAAGGGCATGGGAGTGTCACTGTGAGAGGGAGAGGCATGGAGAGTCAGAACGGGGGGCTTTGAGAACGAGAAGGGGAAATGCTTAAAGACGATGGGCACAAGCGTGTCAGGAGCCGTGCATGAGATAGTAAGTGCACAAGAACTGAGTCAAGGCAGGTGTGTTCCACAGAATAAATACGTGTGCACAGAGTTTGTGAGTGGGTAGGGAAAAGGGTGTCCCAAGTGTGTCTGCAGCAAGGGTTTAGAGATTTTCAGGAGTGAGGTGTGTAAAGGAAGGTACCAAGGGAAGAGTACGCAGGCAAGAGTTTGAGACAGGAAGGGTATGGAGCGTGGAAGAAGAAATGCAATGTGTGCTAGGGAAACGGGGTGTTTGAGCACTGAGAGGGCCTCGCGAGCCAGAAGCGAAGGCGGAGTGTGCAAGACAGCGAGAGGGCAAATTTGTGCAAAATTGTAGCCCAGGGAGAGGAGAGGCAAGCAGGCGTGCAAAGGAGCGTGCAAGAGGCCGGGGTGGTGTGTGGGGGGGCGGGGGGAAGCAGCGGCCGCTGTATGTGCTGGGGAGAGGGGAAGGTGGGGAGAGCCCAGGGGCCTGGAGGGGGGGGGGGAAGGGTTGTTAGAGGGGCAGCAGGTGGTGGAATCTGAGGGCACCCCTTCCCCTGTGGCCGGGGACAACCCGCATCCAATCAGGCTCAGGGCTGACCCTCTATGGCTCTGTCTGTTCCCCCCTCCCCAGAACCGACCCTTCCCTCCTCCTCCATCCCCCTCTGTGATTTCCTCCATCACCCCCCCACCTTTGCTCCCTGCTTCACACACAGTCTTGTGTCAGCTGCCCCCTCCTGTGAGGTGCAAATGTCTGGCTGGGATCAGGCCACCTGGTGACCTCCGGCCTTGGGAGAGGAGGGCAGGGCGCAGTGCTAGCAGAGTCCCTGGCCCAGGGGGAGAGAATGACGGTCAGGGGTCAGAGGTCAAGAGGCCAGTAAGCCCAGGGGTTCTGTGGACGGGCTGGTCCGTCCAGGCCAGCCATCACCTCTCCAGGAAAAATTTGAGAGCCCGGTCGATGTTCATGCGGTGGCCCACCCTGGTCACACCCAGATCGACGTAATCCTCCTTGGTCAAGGCAGGCAGATGGGAGCCATCGATCTCGTGGTCCAGGAACTGCGCCCGGTGCTCAGCCAACCCCAGCCACTCGAGCCAATCAGCCACATCGAACTTGGTCCAGAACCCCAGAGGCTTGGCGCCGAAGGGCTTGTCCGGGGGCAGCGAAAGCAGGCGGGTTGGTGAGAGGGAGCGGGAGGCCCCTGACAAGGCCCCGCCAAGCCCCCCAGACATCCCGGGGTGTGGTGGCACAAAGACAGGGGCAAAAGGATCAGCTGAACCTCCTGCCCCTCCAGTCGGGGAGCTGCGGATGTCAAAGAGGCCCGGATACAGGGGTCCGGAAGGCAGGATGGGCAGGGACGAGGGCCTGGGCGCAGGGCTGACCTTGTGCTCCGAGGCGGGCAGCAGTGAGGGGCTGGGGGCCCGGCGGAGCAGAGGAGGCCGCATCTCGAACTCCACGCCCTGGAGGTGGCGGGTGGACGTGGAGGAGGAGGCTGAGGGTGAGGTGGCCCCCGACGCTGCAGCAGCTGAAGGGGGGACCCCGCTTCCTGTGGGGAGTGGCGGCAGAGGTGGTTTGGGCCAGTTCTGAAACAGGCTGCTGACAGGTTTGGAGAGGAGCGAGGACTGGGAGTCTTCAGAGAGTCTGGAAGGTGACAAAGGGGCAAGGGGGGAGGAAGGGGGTGTGGGGGGCAAGGGTGGGGGTGAGAAAGAGGCAGAGGTTGAGACGTAGGGAGAGAAGAGACACAGGAGCGGGGGTAGAGAGGTGGAGGAGAGAGATGGGAAGAGATAGAAGGAGCGAGGGGGTGAGACAGATGTCAGGACAGAAATGAAGGGAGAGAAGAACGAGAGGACAGGGAGAGGGTGACAGTCAAGAGAGATGAAAGAAAAAGAGACATTAAGTGATAATAATAATAATCGCCACCACTTACTGATGCTCACGTGTGCCAGGCATTGTTCTAAGTGCTTTACATATCGCATCTCAGTGTATACCCCATGACAGCCCTGATGCAGGTTACTATTATTATCAGCAGCACAGAGAGGTTAAGTAACTTGCCTAAGGACACACAGCCAGGAAGTGGCAGAGCCCAGTTATATGGCACCAAAGTCTGAGCTCTTAACCACTACTCTATACTGCCTATCGGGTTATGGCCAGTCACAGCAGAGTGGAAGACAGGGAGACGGTGAGAGAGGAACAAAAAGAGGGTGAGCGTTCAGGGGAGAGAGATGGAAGGGGATAGGGGACAGAGAGAGAGAGAGAGGGAGAGAGATGAGGAGAGGGAGATGAAAGAGAGAAGAAACAAGGGGAGAAAAAGGTTCCCCTCATCCCTTTAGCTCCTTCAGAACAGTCCTGCCTCAGGACCTTTGAACGGGCTGTTACCTTGGCCTAGCTCACTTCCTCCATGTAGCCATGGGATCTGCTCCCTCCCTTCCTTCAGCTTCTGCTCATCTTGCTGGTTTATGGCGAGGCATTTTCTGACCATCCCCATCCCTGCCTCATTAGACTATGAGCTCTGTGAGGGCAGGGCCTTGCCTGTCCTGTCCCGTATGGTGTCCCTGTCACTCGGCAGGGCACCCAGTGCACAGTAGGTGCTAAAGCAATAGCGGTGCATCTCGCCTACATTAAGCATCCCCTTCTCCACCCAGAATACTTAGAAATAATCAGCCGGTTGCGCTAAGATCTCAAAGACTTGAGAAAACCACATTCAGACATCACCATAAGGACATCAGACTCTCAGAGTTAGAGTGAGCTCTGCAGAAGGCCAAGGGCAAGGGGATTAAGAGACCTCTCTTCACTCTCTCCGTGTGCCTGAATCAGAAATGTGACTCTGCTTGCCCTAAGACTAGAAGGTCTTGAATGAGCTCGAACTTTGTGGCAATCCTGGCTAAGCTACCTGCTTTAGGAAACTTCTTCACTATCCTGTATTTTTCTTTCTACACTTGCTGGGCCTTGGTAAGAGGCCTCTCCCCTCCCCCAACTCCTGTTACAACAGAAGCCCACATTTAATCCTCTCGAAATCCCCTTCGGTGGGTCCAATGCTGTCCACCTTCTGCAGAGAGGTGGGTTCCTTTGCCTGAGGTCTCCCAGTTAGAAGTCCTGGGCTGAGACCAAAGCCCAAGAGGCTGGGCTCCAGGCCCACATACCAAACCACTACGCCCTAGAGCCTCTTAATCTTGAGCCACACCAGGTTCAAGGGACTTGATTTCAGGGACTGTCAGAAATGACAACCCACCAAGGAAACAGACATTGGCAAGTTGTGCTCCAGTCTCCTTTGTTGATAACTTTTTTGTTCATCATGGGATGTGAGTTGTCATGGTGATGGGAAGAGACCACAAAAGCTACTGAGCTAAAGCATTTGGGAAAGCATGCTTCTGAGGATGGACTCCTGCAAGCCAGCCCCGTTTCTGTTTTCTTTCTACCACCTGGGACCCTCCAAGGATGCAACTAAGGGGTGGGTGGACTCTGGTACCCACAGCATTGGCTCCTGTGGCCTCCGTCACCACCCACCCACCCCAGCTCACCTCTGCCGCTGCAGGGAAGAGGTCCTCTCAGGGACGTAGCTGGATCCCCCGTGGTGACTGTCCCCGCTTCCCCCGCTGCCTCCCCGGGCCCAGGGCAGGGCGCCACCAGCTGCCGAGGAGCCCCCAAATTGTTGAAGCTTGGAGCTGAGTTCACTGATGATGCTGGCTTTTACTGTGGCCAAGGCTGAGGCCTGAGGCTGGGCCAGGGGCCCGGGCAGGGGTGGTGGCGGTGGGCCCGGGCCCTCCTCCCAGGGTAGCAGCTTCCGAGGCAAAGAGGAGGCTGATGGCAAGGGCACTGGTGGGCCTTCCGGCTCTATCGCTACCGGACCCCCAGCCATACCCGCCGTTGAGGGTCCCGTGCAACCGCTCAGGGCCAGCAGCCCATCTGTTCCAGCCCCCGTCACAGAGACAGTGGGGCTGGTGGGAGTGACAGGGTCCCGGAGTCCCCCACTGGGGCCAGGCCTCAGGCCTCCACTGGTCCCCAGAGCCCGGCCCCGGAGCTTAGAAGGAGTCATGAGCTGCGGGGGATATGGTGGGCCAGGAGTCCCACTCCCCCCGAAGGCCTGGCCGTCCAGGTAGGCCACGTATGTGTCCAGAAGCTCTGGCCCACTGGCCACACTGGCCCCACCGCCTCCACCACCGCCTCCGGCGGGGCCACCGCCTTCCGCAGAAAGGCTGCTCAGTGTGGACGCGCTGCTGATGGTCTCCAGCGGGTGGTCGCTGCTGCTCCGACTGTCTACCTCCTCGATTCCCGAATCTGTGCCTGGCGGTGGGTCCGGGCCAGGCTGTGGCGCTGGGGGAGCAGGGGCAGCCGGGGCCGGTGGGCCTGGCGGAGGGGGGTCCCCAGGAGCCACGGGGGCCCCCTGGGTCAGTGTGGCCACCTCACTGTCATAGGAAGTCAGGCTGGATGCCGTGGAGTCCAGGGTGGGAGGTGCAGCGGCGACAGCAGGTGGTGGCACTGGGGGCAATGGGGTGGTTGGGGTGGGTGGGTCCGGCAGCGGATGGGGGGGCCCGGGTGTGAGGGGCGACTCTGGCTTCTCGAAGCTGTTGGAGAACTCCAGAGGCGGAGGCAGCGGTTCCACAAAGAGGAATTCGCCATCTTCCACATCCACCGAGGGAGCAGGCGGCGGCAAGACCAGCAGGGGAAGCCCGTTCTCTTCAGTGCCCCGCGGGGAGGTCGGCGAGGGCGGTACGGACCGGCGCGGGCTGGGCGGTGGAACCCCCGGCCCGTCTTCCGACGGGGGTCCCCTTCCCCCCGCCCCGCTGGCTCTGGGCTGGCAGTTCTCAAGGAACCGCACGTGCAGGGGCAGCCGCTCCGGCTCCTCAGGGGCTCCAGACCTCCACGCCTTGCTCACCGCGGGGTGCGGGGGCGGGGGCTCTGGCCCCAGCTGCAGGAGGAGGGGCCCGACCCCGGGAGCTGTGGGGGGCAAGCGGTGCAGCAAGGAGCGTCGGGCAGCTGGAGGGCTGGCCGGAAGGGACTTCTCCTGACTGCCCAGCCCTGCACGGTACCCCAGCTCCCGGCGGGCGGGGTCCGGTGGTGAGGCCCCCCAGAGACGCAGCACCGGCTCATGGTGGGCGTGGGGCGAGTGGTGGTGTGGGGTGGGCGGCGGGGCCTCATAGCGGGGCGATGGGGGCCTTGGAGGGGGCTGGGGGGGCCCACCACCCTCCGAGGACTCCTTCAGCGCCCGCTCTCGGGCAGCCAGGGCCAGCCCGAGAGGGGAGGCGGGGTCCAGGGCCTTGCCCGTCAGTGGGTGGACCAGGGGCCGGGGCGGCAGGAAGCTGGTGAAGGCGCTGCTGCCCCCACTGCCCCCGTAGGCGCGGCTACCGGCCGCGTAAGCCCCGTAGCCACCGCCACTCCCCGCGCCCGCAGACTCCAGCCGCAGATAGGGCTCGGCGGAGAACATGCCTTCATCGATGGACTTCGAGTGGCGCAGCCGGGGACCCGGGGGCGCCCCTGGGCCCAGCCCGCTGTCGCCGCCATCCTCGTCCCCCGCGTCGGTGGAGAGGAAGAGCGTGGACCGCCGGCGGGCTTCGTTCTGCCAGCCCCCTTCCCTCCGGGCCGCCCCCACCAGGGCCGCCCCGAACTGGCTGGTGAAATCCAGGGTGGCCGGGCCGCTGGGCGAGGTGGGGGTGGGCACGGGCGAGGGGGACGGCGGCACCGGCGACATGGCCGGGGCGGGGCTCGGCGCCGAGGAGCCTCCCGCGCTGCCGCCGCCGCCGCCGCCGCCGCCCCCCGCAGCCTCGGGCTGGGTTGGGGGCTCGGCCTCGGTGCTGCTGCCCTGGCTGCTGCGGCCGCTGCTACTGGTGGACGGAGCCTTGATGATGATGGTGGGGATGGGGATGGAGTTCTTCTCCGAGGGGGCGGCCGCGGCGGGCGGCGGCTGCGGGGACGCCGGAGACGTGGGCGAGGCGGCGGCAGGGAGGCCGCCTCCCTTCTGAGGCTCGCCTTCGACTTTGGTCTGCTTGACCAGGGGCCCCTTGCGCCCGCGGCCCGAGCGGGCTGGCACGTACATGGCCGCGCTGGCCGCCCGGGGGGGGCAGCTGGAAGTAGCGCAGGGCCGGGGCCTGGGAGGAGCTGATGCCTCCGCCCCCGCTGCCGTGGTGCGACGGGGACGGGGCCCCCGGGGTGGGGCTGGGCCCGCCGCCCCTCCAGCCGCGCAGGCTGGGCTGGGGCCCCAGAGCCAGTCGGGGTGGGGGGTCGTCGGGGGAGCCGCCCGTCTCCATCTCGGGAGGATGAGGAGGGTGGGCGTGGTGGTGGTGAGGCTGGGGGGGCGGGGCGTGATGGTGGTGGTGGTGGGGCGGGTGGTGGTGGGCGGGGGGCAGGGGTCCGCTGTGGTACAGGCTTTTCTCACGGCTCCCTACACGCGTGTCGGGAGGGGAGGGTCCATCAAAGGATGCGGGGGAAGAGGACGGGAGGAGGCCACCCGAACTGGGGTTGAAGGGCCCTCCCCTGGGGGATGGAGTGAGGCGGCCGGAGGAGGAGGGGGCTGGAGGTGTGCTGTAGGGGGGCTCGGGTGGGGACGTGGTGGGCGGTGGGGGGATGTCCTCCGAGCCAGGCACAGACAGGCTGCGGCTGAACTTCATGGCTGGGGGTGCTAGGTACGGTCTATCATCTTCTGCAGCCCCTGGGGAAGATAGAGTGGATCCAGGAGTGGGGGGAGGGGGTCTCCCTCCTCCCCTATACCATACTACTACAATATTAATGCAACAACAACAATAATATGACGCCACTGAGTATCTACTAAGAACCTCACACGAACTAGTCCAGAGTTCCCCAGCTGTGGTAAATCGGCTTGATGTCACAGGCTGTGCGTTGCACAAAGCAACCGGCAGGGGGAGCAAGGGGAGGCGGGGCGATATTCAGCTGCACTTCCTGCTCAAGCCAGAAGGGGGCGCCGTTTTCTAATTCCCGCAAAGACACAGCCTATGCTAGTGGTGGCTCGGGGGAAGCAAAAATGGCTGGAGCCCGGGACAGATGCCATGTTTAGGTGCATGTCACAGATTTCTCTTCATGCATACGCGGAAATAAAATGTAATTAGCACATAAAGCCTGTGCTTTCACAGACGGAGCTAGTTAGGATGAGGCTAACGTTTACGAGAGAGATCCAATTTATGGGTAAGCAATGCTGGGTGGCTTTACAGGTAGTTGAGGTGAGATAAAGGAGATACAGGTAGACCTCACAGATGCAAGACTCACTGGTAGACTTTGGACGCTGGAAGTGGGAGAAAAGCTAGACCCAGTCACAAAAGGACTTGGAGTGGATGGGAAGAACGAAGTCTTCTGCCTACTTATCACTTTCAGGGCTCAGTCTTTGACCCTCTTCTCTCCTCTGACTACTATCTCTCCTTTGGCAATCTCAAGCGACATGCTGCTTCATTCACTAGGTCTCTGCTGAAGATGCCCACATCTGTCCTGGGACTCAGTCCTCTCCTCTGAGCTCCAGGCTCCTCTATCCAAATGCCATATCCATTTAATTGGATGTCTCACTGGCATCTGAAACTTAGCAGGCCCCCAGTTGTGCTCCTGATCTCCTCCCACCCCATAGTCTCCCCCTTCTGAACAAACAGTGGATCAGTCCTACCTCAGGACCTGTGTCTTGGCTGTTCTCACTCCCTGTAATACCTTACCGCCATATATCCACATCGCTCTCCCCCTTCATTTCCATGTTTTGGCTCATATCTGCCTCCCAGGACTCATCTCCCTTATTCTACTCTGCTTCCCACCCCACTAGAACTTACCACTGCCAACATACTATATAATTGTCTTGTTTCTTATCATTATAATCTATTGTCTGTCTTCCCCTGCTGGAAGGCAAGCTCCATGAGGGTAGGACCCTTTCCTCTGTTTTGTTCACTGACATATCCCCAGCAGTCTAGGACGTAGGGTGGATACCCAGTAAACATTTGTAGAATGCATCCACGCATGAACGAAGTCAGGTATAAGAGAGAAGAAAGTAGGTAGTGGGGGTTCCGACTCCTGCATCCAGGCAGGAATAATAACATGCTCATTTTCTAGATGCAGAACCCAAGGCCCAGAGAGGTGCATCTACTTGCCGCAGGCCACACAGCTAGGAGGGACAAGAGCTAGAATTCAGATCCAGATTTGCCCAACAACAAAGCCTGAGCTCTCTGCCCAGCTGGATGGAACTGTTGTCATATATGGAAGTAGAAAAGAACATTTCAAAGTCCCTTCGTTCCTCCTGTAAACTGTCATCTTCCCAGCCTCCCCCTCCCCTTCTAGCATCCAATATACCCACCCTTCCAGGTGACATACCAATAGATTTTTGCCGGAGCATAAGCCCAGGTCCTGGAGGCAGGTAAGAAGGACGTTCATAACTTGGCTGCGAGCGGTGGTGCGGATCGAAGCTTGACTTTAGGGTGGCAGTCAGAGAAAAAAGACAACAGAGAAAGATCAGTCTGGGCATGAAGATTCATAGCTTCACCACACAGCTGGCCTCCAAGCCTGCTCCAAGCCTCTGCAGGAAGGGTGAAAGGCATGGAGGAGGCAAAAGGGAATTCTGGAAGAGGGAAAGGTGTCTGAGTTTGGGCAGTGGGGAGAACGAAAGGGAAAGAAAGCAGATTCTCAGCAGCCCTGTTTGCTCTGCTTCCCATACCGAACACTAATCTGGGTCTTTTCTCCATTCTTGCTGTCAACCCCCAGGTCCAAGTCCCCAGCATTGCTTGGCTTGCTGGCTGCCCTAGCCTCTTCCCCTGTCCCCCTACCCCTTTCTTACTCTGCCACGTAAGAGTCAGAGGGATCTTTCAGAAAGAAGTCCAGGTCATGCAATTGCCCTGCTTAAAATCCCACAGGAGCGTCCTGCATCACCAGTCAGGAGGGGATTAGAATTCCCAACTCTAGTCTGGAGTTGTGGTCTGTGGTAGACACTGCTGATACACACAACATCCCCCTGGCTGGGACGCTGTGACCATCCCCAGCTGCTGAGAGTGTCACCTGCCTGGGCTCTTGGCTGCCCCCGGGGTTTAAAGAGTCCACCTCCTCCAAAGGAGCTGATGGGCCCAAGCAGTTATGTCCCCCTACTTCTTCTTCTTTTTTTTTAAGATCTTATTTATTTATTTCAGAAAGAGAGAGAGTGTGTGTGCACTAGTGGGGGAGAGGGGCAGAGAGAGAAGCAGGCTCCTGGCTGAGCAGGGAGCTCAATGCGGGACTCCATCTCAGGACCCTGGGATCCTGACCTAAGCCAAAGGCAGACGCTTAACCGACTGAGCCACCCTGGCACCCCATGTCCCCCTACTTCTGGGAGCAGCCTGCTGTCAAGGACCAACTGACAGGGAGATCCAAGGCAGAATTAAGTCTGTGGCGTAATTCAAACTCTCCCAGGGATCAGGCAGAAAGGGACTCCAGCGGGGGCCACGTTTGCTGAGCTCTCACAGCCCACCCTGCCCCCCTCACTCCCTTATAATTCTCCCCTTACAATACTGTCAGAGCAGGAATCCCCATCTCAGGCTCTGCCTATAGGAAACGCAGGTGCCCAGTACAGTCCAGCCCCGTATACATTTCCTACCTGCTCACCCTGACTCCATCGTGTCCACCAGTCCTGCCCCAGTGCCCCAAGGTCCATCCCTGTTTTACAGCACCCATAAGTCCTGCATTTGCTTTCTGCAATGTTTTCTCCTCCTCATCACACATTCCTTTCCATCTTTCTGTCCTCTACACAAATGTCCCTCCCAGTCACTGTCTACTGCACTTCCCTGCACTGTTTCCTTAGGACACTCATCTCCATCTGAGACACCTTGTTTATGTGCTTCCTTCCTGACTCCCTGCCCAGAATTCGGCTCCCTGACAGCACCAGAGGTATGGTCTCTCCGGCCCATGACACCTGCAGGCAAAATATTTCCATTTCCTTTAAAATCAGAGGGGGGAACATGAATAGGATCCAGTCTGGATGATAATACTCATCTTTGCACCAACACAGCCATAAAATACAGATTTTTAAACTTATTTTTGAGGGAGGGGCTTAGGAAGGCAAAAGTGCCAAAGGCCCATGGAATCCTAACAGCCTGCTGGACGGTAGCGACGCTGCAACCAGGACCCGATATTCTATAAGCTTGTGTCAGATGAATAGTAACTAAAGGAGAAGGAACCAGCATCAGCAACTGACTCCAGTGCTTCTGCCAGGTGACCTCATGTGTTACTCTTCTCTGTCTTTGGGGCCCGAAGTACAGAGAAAGGAAACCCTAATTCAGATGAAGTCCCCACCTTACTGCCCTCACCTCCCATCACGCTCTCTCAACTTCCTGTGCTGTTTCTCACCTCAGGGCCTCCACATACGCTGTTCCCTCTGCCTGGAACATCCTTTCCCCCTGCTCTGCTTGGGAAGATTTGTCTTCTTACCCCCACTCCGGTCTGGCTTCTCCCTTCCTCTAGACCTACGCTGCCCAATACAACAACCCCCACCCTTTCAGATGTAAATTTTAACAAATTAAGATAAAGTAAAATGAAAAATTCCCTTCCTCTGTTTTTGCTGGTCACATTTCAAGGATTCAGTCGCCACACATTCCTGCAACACAGGAACTCTACTGGACAAGACAGAGCTGCTCTAGACCACATAGGACGCACCTGTCCTAACCTCTCCCTGCACTCACCCCCCTGGATTGAGACTGCCCATCTCTGCGTTTGTCTCATTCATTCATTCCACAGATATTTACTGAGCGCCTGGGCCATCCCAGGGACTGTTCCAGATGCTGCAAATGCAGCCATCAACAAAACAGACAAAGTCCCCCTGGCTACATGGAGGGCAGACAAAATAAATTAGTAACATAACGGGGTCGGGCGGAGGGAAGGCAGGGAGGAGGAGGATATCAACAGGGCCATCAAGGAAGGCCTTTCTGTGAAGATTGAATCTGAGCAACTTCCAGAAGACGGGAGCCATGCATATTCCCAGGGTGGGGGGTGGTGGTGGTGGGGAGTTGCCAGGCAGAAGGAACAGCAATTGTCTATGTCCTGAGGTGGGAGTGAGTGTGGTGTGCTCAAGGAACACTCGGGAAGCCGATGTGTCTCGAGCAGGTGAGTGGGGGCACTGAGGGGTGAGAGATGAGGTCAGACATCTGGTAGAAAGGTGATAATGGGTGGAGTCTGTTAGTTTCAGATATCTCCTCCCTGGAGAGGCTTCCGCCTGTTACTCTGCACTGTAACTCCCTCCAATTAACCTAGTGTAGACTTATTATAATTATTTGCTTCTTGTTCATGGTCTGTCTTCCTGGGCATGGATCCCACACAGTTCCCATTCTACTCTTCCTTGGTAAGAAAAAAACCATCTCTTTTGGCACCTATTGGAACTACATTTCCCAGGATCCCGTGCAGCTGCATGTGTAGGTAGGCTGGGATGCGTAAGTGCAAGCATATGTGTGTTACTTTGGGGAAGTCTCCTCAGAGGTAACCCAAGAAGCAACAATGTGCCCTCCTTTGCCTTTCTACCTTGACACTCTTCCTTGTTCCTGCTACCTGGAATGCTGGTGGCACAGCTAGAGCTCCAGCCATCTTGGACTAGGAGGTGACCCTATGGTTGGAAAGAAGGCTAGGATGGTGGAGCAGAAAGTGAGAGGGGTCCTGGGTCTTCATGACCATGGCAGCTGCCATACCCACCTACTCCAGACTTCGTTAACATGACAGAGCTACAAGACTCTTCTGGTTCAAGCCACTGTTATTTGGAGGTTTTTTACATATGGAAGAACCCAATTCTGCAAAATCCAACTCGTGTCCAGGAATTTAAATTCTCTAACGGGAGTGGCTTTACTCGGTTCGCTCTTCCAACCCCAGCAGGTCCAGCGCATCAAGGTGCTCAGTAAATATGTGCAGAAGAAGTCCAGACTGAGGAGGGCGAGCAAGGGGATAATAGGGACGTGGGAAGGAAGGTGAGGGAAGCATCTAGTAGAGGAATGGGAGTGGGGATGGGTGGGGGAGCAGAGTAACGGGGGAGGGTTCCGAATGACAGGGGAGGAATCAAGGGGCAGGGGAGGGTGTCTCTGAATGAAGAGAGTGCACAGTGAAGGGAGAGGCGTCAGATTGGCGTGTTGCCAGAAGACATTCTAAGTGGAAGAGGAGGGATTAAATGATGGGTTAACTTGACATAAAAGGGGTCAGAGTGGCAGAGGAGATGTCAGGCTGATGGAGAAGCCATAAAAGCGTCTGAGGAGGCGTTGGACTGCCTGCCTGAGGGGCACACTGACTCAAGGTGGGACAGGCTGACCTCCAGCCAGGAAAGGGGAGCGTCCTCTCCGGCGCAGGGGGCAGGGAATCAGAGTGCCCGGGTGCGCGTGACATCACCGGCTGCTGGCAGACTCCTCCCCAGCAAGTCAGCCAGAGGTCCGCCCTCCTCCGGTGCCACCTCCTGCACCGGTTGTGGGTCTGATGCCTCAAGGGCAGAGTGTGTGCCCTGGTGCTGTGCACAGCCTGGAGGCTGAAGACAGACTGAGAAATGCGCGCCAGGGAGACAGCCCCTGAAAGGGGTGATGGGGGAGACAGCGGAGGGGGAAACAGGCAGAGAGACAGAGGTAGACAAAGACAGAGATGGGGGTTCAGAGCAGGGGAGACAGGAGGGGAAATGAGACAGCGATGGGAAGAAAGAGGGCACCAACAAAGCAGGAAGAGAGGCAGTCCGGAGAGGCCTGGGGGGGGGGGGGGGGGCAGGGCTGCTCCAGGAGGGTCAGGCATGCAAACAGGAGGGAAAGAGACAGACAATGCGATCAAGAGGGTATGGCCAAATAATCAGAGGGAAAAACTGTGTCCAGAGAAAGGTTGAGACTGGCACCCAGACAGAGATGGGCAGAAGGGAGGCCAGTGCAAGAGTGGGGGGAAGATAGGGTACCCCTTGGAGTCAGAGACCAGGTAACAGAGACAGTAGCTGAGGGAGACAAAGCCACACAGAGGGGAGGGCAGATGGATGGACAGCAGAACGTTAGGAGGAGACAGCCCAAGAAGCACCCTGACCTACACAGAGGCCTCGGTGGCAATACTGAGCCCCCACACTGCCCGCTTACCCCCTCTGGTCTAGTGCACAGGGCTCAAATCGAGACAGGGAGGAGGGAAGAGAAGCTGAAGCAGATGGGAAAATGAGAAACAGAAAACAAGACCATAGGGAGAGAGAGCGCCACAGAGATACAGAAGCAGCAGGAAGGGGCCCCTGTGTTGACTCAGAGTGTGAGAAGTCAGGATGTCTGATGGAAAGGTGGGGACAGAGATGGGGGTGAAGAGAGTCCCTAACACAAGAGGTGGGGCTTTGGGAAGGCCCAGGGCTAGACCCTGGAAGGGAAAAGAAAAAGGGAAAATGACCACTGGCCTCTACGGCCCAGAGGGAAGGGAGATGCCATTCAAGAACTCAGGTGACTGCCTAGGAGTCTCTTTTCCAGGAGGGAGGGGCACGTGGGCACTAGATGTTATCATTGGCCCATGTATGGGCCCCTCTAGGGGTGTCTTTGGAGCTCAGATGGTGAATTCCATGAGGGCTGGGATCTTATCTGTCCTATAACCACGGTTCACCAGGAAGGGGTTGGCATGTTGGTTGCTGTTTGTTGAATAAATGAAAACAGGGTTTGCCCTATCTACTCTCGGAGACTCTGCATGTGATATGCTGTTGTAGGGTCTCTGGGGCACATGCAAGTTTCACTGGCAAGTCATTGTGGGGTCTCCAGTCTGTTTTATGGCCTAAGAGGGCTCGCCATGTGTTGAGAGCCTGCTGTACCAGGAGTTGACCTCATTCAATCCTCATCAGGACCAGCAAGACTGGCTTTAGCCCATTGTACAGAGCAGGGAACCGAGGATGCAGAGAAATCAGGCAGTATGGTTCAAGTGGCTCAGGGAGTCAGAGGGAGTCAGAATTTGAAGGCAGGTCTGCCTGGCTTGACTGCCCATGCACTTCTGAGTCTACACTGACCTTCGGGGGAGGTGGGCACAGAACACGGTCCTCACAACCTCAGAGATTTCGGATTCCTTGAGAAACTCAGGACAGGTGAGACGGGAGGTGCTGCTGTGTGCAGGGCACTCTGCCAAGCCCTGAGAAGGTGGCCAAGGACCCTCCGCTTTTACATCTGAAAGCAATTCTATGAGTCTGAGTACAAAATCTGCCACCTTCGTTTGAGGCATTCTAAAGTAGGTAGTCTAACCCTTAGTAGGTCTGTGGCTAGACTTCAAGGGGACCATGCACTTGGACTAGAAAAAAAATTACATCTTTATTGTCATTATCTTCCAATGAAAACAGTATTTCCTCGATTAAGGATGTAGGCAGCAAACCAACCTGGCCTTAGCAAGACCTGTGCCTGTATCCCCAATAGAAATCCCAGATCGTCCCATATCCCTTCACAGAGGTGCAGATCTCTTGAAATTGTGTTTATGCGCCTCATGACTAGTTAAGAGTTAAGATCCATCACGAGGTCTTGCTGGCTAATGTGTTAACGAAAAAGCACTGATGTTACTATATCATAAATTATGTGTTTACTTTGTGTATGTTCTTAACTGAACCCTAGGCCTAACACAGGGCTCGAACGCATGACCCCGAGATCAAGAGTCACCTGCCCTACCGATTGAGCCAGCCAGGTGCCCCACGAATTTTGCTTTTAAAAAATATTTTGGTAACTGTATTATCAGTGTAATTGGCTTCTTTTGTTTTCTTAAGTAATTTACCTTACGCTTCTAAGCATTATTCGGAGGACCATGCCAGCCTGCCAAGGGGGCCCAAGGTCCCTCAAAAGACAAAGAATCTGCTTTTAGACTAAACAGCCTGTTGGCCACTGGGTGGTGGGTGTGGCCTGTGGGAAGAAGGGGTTGAGGGCAGGATCAGAGGGCACGGCTTGAGCCGAGAAGTAGGGCTTGAGCAGAGAAGTAGGGCGGTGTGTGATCTCTGCAGGGGACTCTGGAAGGTGAGAGGAGGTTGCTTGGTGGCTGTGCCCACAAAGGGGCACAACCCAATGACAAGCCAGCTAGGGAAGGACCACCAGGCCCACCAGAAGAACCAGGGCCATGGATCCAGTTGCCTGACTTGCCTGGACTGAAATACTGCCTCCCTCTCTAAGCCTTGGTTTCCCCTCTGTAAATGGGCTAGCTGTGTGGATGATCCTAGAAATGAATGAGATAATCCACGTAAAATGTAGTGTCCAAAACAGGATCACCACCCATTACAGGTCAGCCTCTGTCATAGGGAAAAGCAGGCAGAGTGGAGACAGCGATAATAAATAATATTTTAAAAACTCCCACTTGTTGAGCACCTATTATCACGTGCTGGGCCAATGCCAGGGATCACCAGCTGTGACATTATACTGCCTTCCCTGAGACTCTTGAGGTGGGACGGAGATGGACAAGAGGTGAGAGCAGGGAGTGAGGAAATGAGGGACAAGACTTAGGAGGAGAATAAGGAAGAGGATGGGCAGAGAGGAAGGAAGACTCCCAGAGTGACGAGAGAAGAGGAGGCCCAGGAAGGGTGGTGCCCCTCCAGGGCCAACATCCAACACAGCGGGTTCAGGAAGGTTATGCAAGGAGAAAATGGTGAGTGCAGCCCCCAAGCCTCCTCTCCACTCTGCTCCCATCCCCCACCCACCTCCCCCACCCGGCCCCGACCCGTCCAGGCTGCCTACCTCAGTGGCAAAGAAGCCTTTGGGCCGGTGTTTGCCCAGCGACGCAAGGCCACCGGGTCCAGGACTCTCGCTTGCACTGATGGTTTGCTGAGCTGCCGCCAAAATTTCATCCAGTTTGTCTAAGGGGAGGTGGAAAGAGGCAGTAAAATGAAGCTTGCTTTGGCCTCGGGCAGAAACAGAGCTGCCAGGAGCCCATGCGGTATGTTCTATGAACCAGGAAAGAGCACCCCCGCCTCCACTCCCGTGGACCGATGGCCCTTATGGAGACAGAATCTCCAGCCCAGAAGGCAGAGCCCAGGGGTGGGAAGGGGTCAGGTCTTCAAATCGGCACAGGAGGGAAGGTGGAGGGGAGGCAGAAGGGTCGGGAGAGAGGCTGAGGACAGAGGTGGGAACTTGCACTTGATGGCTGGGGCAAGGCTGGGGTATGAGGTGGCGAAAGGGTGTGCAGGCAGGAAGAGGGCTGGAGGGGCTGCGTGCAGGGGCAGGGGGCGTGGGGCCAGGGGTCCTGGGGATCCCGGGGAGCAGGGCTGGGCCATCTTACTGAGTGCCATCTGATACACGGTCCGCTTTTTCTCCATGCTGGGCACCGGCGCCGGCTGCTGCTCGTACTCTGTGGGCAAAGGATGCGGATGAAGTCCAGGGACGCCCCCGGGGGCGGGGCGGAGCGGGCTCGGCCAGTAGGCGTGGCCAGCGGGCGTGCGCAAGCGCGAGTTGGGCAGTGAAGGGCCTGGGTCAGGGAGAGGGGCAAGTCCGCCGGCGGGATGGGGACGGGGGGCCCCCCCCGCCAGTCCTGTGCCCACTCACCACTCTTCTTCTTCCAGGGGGAGACTAGCCCGGGGGAGAGGCAGTAGAGGAGCCAAGAGTTAGGACTTCAGGGGGAGGCGAGGGGTCCCCTCTTTGGAACACCCTCCTCCCTCAGGGTAGGGGCGGTCAGCGGCCTGATCTGCCCCCTGTCAGGGGAAACGGGACCCCCCAGGTCCACTCGGCCCTGTCTGGGGGAGGGGCTGGCCTTCCTTTCTGTTAGTGGGGGTGGGGAAGCTGGTGGAGGAAGAGATAGAGAATTGGGGGTGGGGTGAGTTGGGGCAGATGGAGAAAACCGGAAAGGAAACAGGGACCCGTAAGAGGGACGTGCAGACCCAGAGAGAGACTCGACAGAGAAACAGATATAAGAGGACAAAGGAAAGTTGACTCTCAGACGCCCCTTCCCAGCGACACACACGCAGGCCAGAGACAGTCTGACCCATGGACTAGGGACAGGATGAGGACAGGACCCCTGGTCACTAACAACACTAACAAACTCAAGGTCTGGTTCAGCGCCCTTCTGCCCCCCCACCCGCCCTCCCCAGCGACTGTGCCCCAGCAGCCCCACAGGCTCACCCATCTCCTCCAGCTCTGAGGTCATAGACTTTGAACGCAGAGAAATGGCTGGAGGCGGGAGCCGCTTCGCCTGCTGGGGTGCTGAAAAGATGATGGTGGGGGTCAGGCATCAGTATCCCGAGAGAAGGCCCATGAACCCCCTCACCAACACTGCAGTGCTCCCAGATACCAGAGAATGATTGCCACCAGCATGCTGAGCCCTCCCTACCTCAGTTTCTCCCCCAGAAGGGTCATGAACAAGCAGATATCCTTAGGGAAGGAAAGGCCAGTGGTGGGGACCATTAGACCATTAGGACCTCTGAGGATCTGAGCCTAGTGGCAGTGGGGTGCCCAGGTCTGGCCACACAAATGAGTGGAGAAGCACCTTTCTTATGGACAGCCTCATCCATGTCCGGGTGCCTGGTGACCATCACCACCTTGACCATCAGCGTGTTGCCCCCTTGTCGGATCATGTTCACCACCTGCCGGTGGCCAACCTTCACCACATTCTGCCCGTTCACCTGTGGCACAGATACCCCCACACCACACAGAGTAGGTGAGGGGAGGGATGCTTTCAGCTTCAGAGTTGCCAACAGAGTGGCCTCCAGCCTTGCCCTGTGTGTATCACTCTTGGCCTCCCCATCACCCCTTCTCTTTGCAAGGCCCTACTTCTCCTTTGGTAACTTTCCTGGCCCCAGGGCCAGGGAAGGGGCTGGGCTCACCCTATTCTCCCCTCTCCCCCCCCACCCTCCTCCATGCCCCTGCATTGTGTGTGTGGTGTGTGTGTGGTGTGTGTGTGTGTGTGTGTGTGTGTGTGTGTGCTGGGGAGCAGCTCTGTTTTCTTCTGATGGTTCAGAGAAGCCTTTTGGAAGGAATCACTGAAGAAAGCAGAGGCTGACTAGGGGGTGGGCTGGGAGGCTGGGAGGCCTAGTGCTGAAAGAGTGTCTGGATTTGGGCAGATTTGTTGTGGATCAGGAGGAGCCTAGGGATTTCTGTCACCAGGGTCCCAGGAAGAGAGCAGTAACTGTGGAAGGAATGCTGGAGGTCAGCCCTTGGGAAGGCCCCTGGGGCTGGGGGTCAGGACTCACCTCGATGAGGAAGTCTCCCATCCGCAGTCCAGCTCGCCATGCCACACCCCCCCTCGTCCACAGACTCCAGATACTGCAGCGCCGGGAAGGCCGGGGTGGGGGTGAACTCCTCGATGGGGGTCTGCGCTGCAGATGGGAGGAGCCGGCGGGGTCGGAGGGGAGGGGGTGGAGAGGCCGAGCAGGGGATGGGGCTCAGACCCAAGTCACAGAGGCCTCACCGGTAGCTGAGGGACCAGCACCCTGGGGGTGGGGTGGTGGGTGGGCTGGGGTCCCTTCCCCTGTCCATCCCCCTGGGTCAGAGAGCCCTTCTCCCATCTCCTCCCCGGCCGGCACTCACCCTTGGCCCCCCGGAGCACGAACCCAAACCCCTCACTGTCCTTCTTCTGCAGCAAGACTGTCTTCTCCTTAATGATGTAATCGCTGGCAAGGGGGTGGGGTGGGGGTAGGGGGGGTGGAGAAGGGATTATGAGACATGGGAGTCTGAGCTCCACCAGCAACCCGGTGACCTGAGCCCCTGCTCCAGAGCCATTCATCCCACCTCCTAGGATCTTCCTCACCCATTCCATGTGTGTTTGCTCACAGCAGCCCTTACAGGCCTCCCCCTCAGAGCCCAGAGTGCTTGCTCTCCCACTCAATCTTCCCTCATTCATTCATCTGTGCATCCATCCACCCATCCATTCAGCAAGCAGTTTCCAAGCCCACTGTGTGCGGGCGCAGCGCAAGGGATGGGAGGTAAGTTGCCAGATTACCGGACAGCCTGGCTGGAGCCCCCGCTAGCCACTTCCTTATCTGTGACCTTGAACCCGAGGCTTTAACTTCTTGGGCCTCAATTTCATCTATAATGTGAGACAATAACAAGCCCCACCAGACGGGGTCGCTGTGGGAGTTCAGTATGCACGGTATTCAGCGCCCCGCGCCGCACAAGCGTGTACTCAGTAGGATTCCTTTAATGTCTTGGGTCAAGTTACCAAGTCAACAGGACATGGGTACTTCGATGATAGCCCTCCCAACTCCTTGACCACGTATCTACTACAGTAACGGCCCCCCAGGTACCCAAGCCGATTGTAGCCTCACTTACTCAGCACTGTGCAAGATGGTGGTCACTCAATTCATGTGACTATTTATATGCAAATTAATTAAAATTAAATTGAGAAGTTCAGTTTCTCAGTCTCACTCGCCACGTTTCAAAGTGCCCCGTAGCCATGTGTGACTAGTGGTTATCAGGGCGGACAGTGCAGTTACAGAACATTTCCATCGCTGCAGAAAGTTCTAGTGAGTTCCAAAGACTTTTCTATTCCCTGGTATACCTCCAGTGAATCTCCTGCCTGCAGTGGATAGGTTCTAGTAAAAATGCAAACTACCCACGAATATGCAGACAGTTGCCACCATCAGGCCACCAAAGCCTGTCGCACATTTAGGTGATGTTCACATACCCAGGAAAGTTCAATTAAACTCAATTTTTTTCCATGAATCTCAACACCTGCCCGGGGTTGCTCAGGTAACAGCTTCAAATCCTTGACATCACCACAGTGTACCTCAAGATTATATATCCATTCCAGGAAGCCCAGTATACGACAGGAATACCCATCCACCTTGACTCCAACCCCACTACCCTCAAAAGCCCCAAGAATACCCTCCATCCACTAGAATGCACACCCTACTGCACCCCGAGCTTCCTGTGGTCACGTCTGAGACCCGTCCAGTGCACATGCAGACCCGTTAGCAGATCCCAATAATATCCACCAGCCCCAACACACTCCAATAATAGTCAAGCGTGCTCCCCACCCACTTCAGTTACGTACCCCCACAGATTCGGCAAAACAGCCCTTCACGATTACTCCAGTAGATTTCAGTAACGCCCCCACACATCCCAGTATGCTCCAATAATAACTCCCCCTCACTTGGATCTCAGTGTATCCCCATAACACGCCCCCTGAACACATCCCAGCACACGCCAATAATACCCACTGTGCTCCTACTGTATTTCGGTACCATTCCCCTGACACGCAAGCACCCCTGTGTACTCCCGTGACCCCCCACGACTTCCACTATCACTGTCACATCCATATGTTTGCACCACAGCGACAGCGTTCTGCACATGCGCGTGTATGGCAGCCCTGCCCCCGTCCCTCCCCCCCTTATTGTAACTGAGTGTGCTCAACAGCACAGTGTATACGCGGGCAGACCTAGCAACCGCTCTCTCTCCAGGTTCACCATGGTCCAGTCAACATGCCACACTACACCCACCATGTCTTCTGGATCTTATATTCAAGCCAGAGAGAGGCCACCTTTGCAGCTGGGTGGGAGGGGTATAGGAAGACAGGAGGAAAGGAGTTCCAAAGGGGTGAAGGAAGGGAGGGGAAAAAAGGAGGAAGAGGGCAAGGACAAGGTCAACAGAAATTGGTTCAGAGCTGCCTGCTCCTGACCATGCACTCTGCGACATCCACCTTTGTCCCAGCCTGACCACTTCCGCTGAACTTTTATGCCCTTGCACTGGCTTCGGCATCACATATACTGAACCCTTATGCCCTTGCTACCCTCATACCCCCTCCAGACCTCTAGGTTCCCAGCAGGCAGAATGGCCTTGGGACTTTGTTCATCCCTCATTTGCAACTGTTTCTTTTTCTTCTGTTCATGCCACAAACCCCTCTGTTTCCCACACCTTTCCCCTACCTCTGGAATCTCTCTTTTACCCCACATTATCTTCACACTCCAGACACAAGCCTTCCCCAAATAGACCATCCCCCGATATAATTCAATAGAACTCCCATGTCCATTGCACGCCAGGAAGAAGCCCTTGCTTTGTGCAAGGCGGTATTTGAAACCCTCCACTTGGAAGTAACTCGGTTGTCTCTCCTAGCCAGCCTCTGACATAGCTGTAAGTACTATTTCCACTTTATAGGTGAGGACACAGAAACACAGAAAGGTTAGGCAACTTGCCTAAGGTCACACAGCACGTAATCTTGGAAACACAGAAGAAATACTTGGGTCGCTGCAGTTATAACACTGTTTTCTCCACTGCACCCAAATACTTCAAGCACATATATATCTGCCGCGAACTGGCCAGAAGCACCCACCCCTTGGTGCCTGAAATTATCCCAGGTTACGCCCTCAGCACAATGAGTGACATTGCTGAATGCCAGATGCCGCTCCATGCATTTAACATTTATTTATTCACACATTCTCACAACACCCCTGCGAGGGGTAACCGAGGCACGGAGAAGTAACATCCTCGAGATCACAGCAGCTAAAAAAGGGTCAAAGCCAAAGACTGAATTCCTCACAGGCAACCCGTACGCTCCAATAACGTCCAAACACCCTCAGATCATCACAACACTACCTCTATTCCTCCCTCTCTAGCATCCCCATCCCATACAGGCTCCTTTCTCTCCGCACTCCTATGACTTTCTTGCCCAATCCCTGGCCATGGGATGCTTCCCTTATCCCCCTCAACCCACCACATTCTCCTCCAGCTTCCCACCTGCCCTGTTGCCCCAACAGTTTCCCTAAACTCTGTGCTCCCTATCCTCTGCTCTTGTGTGTGCCCCTTTACCTCTCTGCACCTTGCTCCCTACTCCTCCATGCCATTTGAAAGCTCCATGTTGGCCCAACCCACCCTCATTAGCTTTCACTTCCCCTAGCCCTCCTCACACCCCCACTGGGCCATCCCTCTACCTCCTATTTCACCTCTGCATACGGCCCATCCCCTTCCCCAAAGTGTCCTCCACGGACCTCTGTGACCTCACACCCCTCTCATGCACCCCTCACCCTTCCCTTCGCCTCACCCCTCCTACATCCTCTCCCGCCTCTGCATGCAACCCCACCGTGTCCCCTACAGCACCCTAGGTTCCTTTCATACTCCCCAGTCCCCCGCATTCTCCTCCGTGGAAGCCGCTTTCTACTTCTGCATCCTCAACTCACTTCCTCACACACCCTTCCGCCTCCTGGTACTTGCAGCTGCATTTCATTTACATTCCCTGCATCCTCTCTGTGTTCTCCCTGTGCTGCCTGAATCCCCACCCCCAAATCCTCCTCACGGTTCCTGCATTCCCTCCTCACCCCATTTCTCCGAACACCCCACGCACCCTCTATGCTCTAGCACCCCCCCCCGTTTCCCCCACATCGGTGTCCTCCACTTTCCCCTGTTCCATTCTCATCGGCCTCCCTCCTCCTGAGACCCTCTAACCCCACCCCTGCCCCAGCATTCACTACCCACTCCATACCCCATTCAGGCTGGCATTGCTGACGACCTGCCCTGCAGGAGCACATACAATGCTCTCCCCCGGGCCATCCCTTGGCGACCCCAGAGCGGCCTCCGGAGCTCAGCGGCCAGCTCTTGTTCCCTGGATCCCACACGCGGAGACTGCAGCAGCGTCCACTCCCCCCCACCCCCACCCCAGAGGTGCCTCTCACACACCCAGGATCCCACAGCCCAGAGCTGGCTGCTGTACAAGGTACCCCCTCCAGTACTCAGCCCCTCCTCATGTACCCATCTCCATGGGTCTCTCCACGACCGGCACAGAGGCCCCCTCACTGGGAAGCCAGCCCCCTCCCATGCTGAGAAGAGGCACACACAGGCAGAAGCAGTTCCCCATGCAGAAGCACAGCCCGAGCTCAGCACACATGCCCCACACCAGCACGGACCCCCTGGAGGCAGGGAGAGGGGCACATGGGGACAGAGACACGCAGAGGGACTAGAAAAGGGGGGGTGTGGGGGGGGAGGGGACAGGCCTGGCATGAGAGGATAGGTAATGGGAAACACAGCCGCAGTCCCTGGGACAGACCCACTCTATCACACACACACACACACACAATCCTCAGACAGCCTCTCTGTGGCTCCAAGTCACACACAGAGAGAGACACACCGCCAAACAGGGACACACAGATGGACACAGCTGGGGGAGGGGGGCTGGGAGCCCACCATCTCTCCATCTCTGTCTGTCTCTCTCTCTCTCTCTCTCTCACACACACACACACACACACGCGTGCGCGCACGGCTGCAGGCAGTCACACACACGCACATCGACACAGCCACACTGACACATGCACAGTCGCACAGTGACACGCAGCGGAAAAAGAGGAGGGGAGGGGAGGCCGGGGGTGGGATGTGTGTGTGATGGGGGGATGACTGTGAATGGGAGAGAGGGGTATGAATGAGGGGACTTGCCAACTCTGTAAAGGGGTGTGGGGAGATGGGGATCAGTGGAACAGGGTGCCTGAGGAAAAGCCACGGTGGCTCCCCACGGGGAGGGCTCCACAGAGTGGGGGCGGCGAGGGTGGCAGAAAGGGGTAGTGGGTTCCAAACCCCGGAGTGGGATCCGTTTGGAGGGTCTGACTGGGGGCAAGGTTTCAGAGGAAGACATGAGGGGGTTCTGAAAGGGCCTAGGAAGGGGGCTGAGGAGTGTATGTTCTGAGGGGGGCTCGGGGAGAGAGGCCCACGGACGGGGATGAGAGAAGGGTTGAGAAGAGGGGTCCTAAAGGGTTTATCACAGAGGGAAGGTGAGGGGAGAGCGAGTGGGGGGGGGCGGCTTGAGGGGGGAGGAGTCCCAAGGCTGGGGGATTAGCGGCGAGGGGAGGGTCGTCACAGCCGGCCGGGGCCTCCCAGCCTGCCGCGGAGAAAAGGGGCGGCGCGCTCCGTTACCTGTAGATGTACCAGACGCTGCGCCGCCGGGGCCCCAGGGCCGGCCAGCTGGAGGAGAGCGCGGGGGGGCGGCTGCGGCAGGGAGCCCCCACCGGGGCCGCCTCCGAGACCCCCGCCACCGCCGACCGCAGACAAAGCCATCGCCGCCGCGGCCCCGGCCCCGGCCCAGGTCCCGGTGCCGGCCGCCCCCGCCGCCGCCGCCGCCGCCGCGTCCCCGTCCCCGCTCGGCCGAACCCCCGTGTCCGGGCCCCCAGGCCCCGCCTCATGCTGACCCGCGCCGGGAGGGGGGAGGGGGAGGGGGCGCGCACCCTCCCGCGGGAGGGAGGGCAGGGCCGGGGGCTCACATGCCGGGGGGCGCGGGGGCGCGGGGCGCGGGGTCGGGCCGCGGCGGGAGCGCGAGGACCGCGGACGGCGCCGGCTTCAGCACCGCGGACAGCTCCGGAGGCGGGCGGCGGGCGCGAGGCTTTAACCCCTTGGCGTCCTGCGCCGTGTGGCGGAGGGGGCCGGGCAGTGGGGGAGGGGGCCGGGCAGTGGGGGAGGGGGCCGGGAGGGGAACGCGGGGGCCCCCTTGGCGGGAGAAGGGGGAGGGGCGAGGCGCGGGGGGGGGAGGAGAAGGGGGAGGCACTTCCGGTCTGGGCCCCCCCCTTAACCCCCTCCCCCCTCCTGAGCCCTCCCGCGCAGGTGCAGAGCGAGGGAGAGCGGAGACAGAGACGCACAACACCATACAAGATGCCTCGCGACCGCGTGCGGGGACGCGCGAACCGAGCCCCACTTCCCAGGCAGGGATACCACGGTGAGAGAGGCCCCAGGAGGGGACGCACAGCCCCCATCGCAGATCGACACATAATGCACCCCGACACAGTCTGGAAGGGCCAGGAAGGGAAGGCTAGAAACATTGAGACTGGACTCCAGAGCAGTGAGAGACACCCCTCCCCCCAGGCCCAAAGAAGCCGAGAGGAGGGACAGACACACACCGCAGCTCACTCCGGAGAGGAGAGAGCATAGAGCCCCCAGGGGAAGGAGAGAGGGTGGCAACAGGCCAGGACCTCACAGCTCCAGCAGGGATGCAGGGCACACAACACAGACCAGGCCCCTTCAGATGGGGTCAGGGAGAGCAGCGGGGGGAGGCCGGAGGGGAAGAGGCTCAGACGCACCACACAGAGCAGCACATGCTAGCGGGCACAAGGAGGGAAGGAGAAGGGGAGGGAATGAAGTTGATGGAGCTAGGGGAGGAGAAGGAAGAAGCTGAGGGCAAGAGGGACCACCCCAATCCGGCTGGTGAGGCAAGTAATTCCCAGACCAAGGCCAAGGAGAGACCCAGAGAGACACTGTCAGAGACAAGAAGCAGAGGCTGATGGGAGATTTGGGGTGGGAGGGACCTTGATACTCACCCGGTGCCCAGAGCCCAGAGCCAGAGACGTGCCAGGTGAACGCGCACAATGGTCAAGCGCCTCCGACACTCCGGGGCAGGGTGGCACCCCAGCCCCACCCTCTCTCCCCATCTTGTTATTTCTCTCTCCCCAACCCCTCACCCATCCCCACTGGCCAGAACACAGACACGTAGGTTTGGACACATTTAATGGAAGGATGCTACAAACAAGGAGACCCTTCCCTGGATGGGGGGAACAGTGGGGGAGGGTGTCATCTTTCAGATACCAGTTATGACCATCCCTCCCCCACAGTCTTGCCCTTCTGGAAGTCCATGCCCTGGAATCCTCCCCTCTTCTGCCCTCCCCTCCCCCAGTGCCCCAGGTCCTGAGTTCCAGATCAATCGGACAGATGCAAATGCATGCACACGATTTTCTGGGCTGACACGCACGGACAGTGGCATGCACAGAAAGAGACAGACGTGTGCAGAAACCCACCTGTCCGTACAAGGTAAGCAGACACACTGACATCCCTGGAAACACTTGCCCTCATTCTCAGATACACAGATTCAGGGAAACAAAATGTGCAGTGCCAACTGCACGATTAGCCTCAATCGCGCGCCCATAAATGACAGCCAAAAATGCACCCATCTACACAGAGTAGGACAGACGCTCTCGCTGTCATGGGCATCTCCAGGCACAGGGCTACAGGTCTAGGGGCCTCTAGTCACCCATGCATACAGACACGTGTCATGCTCCCCTACAGAGACATGGGGGCAAGGACATACTCAGAGAATCCATACAAGGACGCTTGCCAGTGTAAGATGTTCACGCACAGGGAAACCAGCTCTGGTCGTGCACACACAAGTCCACATATCCCCAGGCACCCCTTTCTTCCCATTCCTGACCCCGTGCCCTCCCTTCCCCTCCCTTCTCACCTCCCTGGGCCAATCCCATCCATCAAGCTTCTGAAGCAAGTCAGCCAGCAGCCAGGGAGGGGAAAGGTGTCAGTGTGCCCATCTCTCCACCCCCACCCCTCCTGGCCCAGCTCTGCCTGCCCCTCTCCCCAAACCCGTGCGAGGCATGGGATGCATACACTTCTGCTGCACATGACCGCACAGAGATGGGGCACACGAAGGAGAAAGGCCTCCAGCCAGCCACACACACGAGCTCCCCAGCCCCAGACAGCTCCATACTTATCTGTCCACCCCATTGGTCTTAGGCTACCCCAAAACTGGGCAGTCTCAGTGGTTGCCAAGGATGGTGTGGGACTGGGCTTGTGGTCTGAAGCTAACTCTGCCTTCCCCCACCTCTGGATCAAACTTTAGAGGGAGCAGAAAGGAGGCTTGGAGGTGGTGGACATATTTAAAGGTGGAGTACGAAGGGAGGTTGGGGTGAGGGGCACCCAAGGGTGTATGGACATTTACCTTGGGGCATCAAAGCTGTCGTAGGAGCCCACGGTATAATGCCGGAAGAGTCTCTTTGCCTTGTCACTGCGGCTTTCTGCAGGAGGACAAAGGACGACCTTAGACCCTCACTCTGGAAACCGTGGGCCCACTCCCAGGGGTCCTGGCCCATGTCGTCCCCTCTACCCCCCCCAGCACCCCACCCCGTCAGGAGAACCCCAGGATCATCAGGGACAACTGGGGAGTCCTCGTTACCTTGTTTTCCCTCCTGGGAGCGGTTCGCCACCTCTTCTAGGCAGTCCGAGGGAAACCAGCCAACACGACCTTTGACCTGGCCTTCCCAGAAGCCTCCTTCCCCGATGCTAAGCACTGGGTGGGGAGCAGGGACATAGAAACACTTCTGTGTTTCTGTGTCGCCTCCCCAACTCCAACATACTTGATGCACAGCCTTGCCACAATTGCCCAGCACCTAGCACAGGGCCTGGCCCAAGGGCATCCTTAATAAATGTCCAAGGAAGGGACGCCTGGGTGGCTCAGTTGGTTAAGCAGCTGCCTTCGGCTCAGGTCATGATCCCAGCGTCCTGGGATCGAGTCCCACATCGGGCTCCTTGCTCGTCAGGGAGCCTGCTTCTCCCTCTGCCTCTGCCTGCCATTCTGTCTGCCTGTGCTCGCTCTCTCTCCCTCTCTCTCTCTCTGACAAATAAATAAAATCTTAAAAATAAATAAATAAATAAATAAATGTCCAAGGAAGGGATGAGGGGTTGGCTGGAGAACCAAATCCTATCACTCCTGCCTTCTTGCTTTCCGAATCCAATGGGGACTTCCAGAGGCACTGGGAGAAAGGGCTGTGTCTGGTGACATGGTCCTCGCAGGTTAAGTCCACCCAGGACTGGCCCTCACCTCCCTTGGTAAGCAACCAGGCACAGCGCGACTCTTCTATAATTTCCCGATGCCCTCTTAGACTCCCTAAACCCTTCTGCAGTCCCGCCACGGCCCCCATTCCCTCCCACTCCCTCCTGGCCACTCAAATTTCTGTGTTTGCTCCCAGCCCCTGCCCTCTGCCTCTCTTTGTTTCCCCTGGCTCTAGACGGGAGAATAGATTAGAATCACCTCTTTCTTCCTCTCCACCCCCGTCCCTGGAGGCCATTTCCTGCTGGCCCCATCTCTTAGCCACACATAGCACACATTTGCTGACTGGCTGTGCTGTGTGTGTGCCGACCACTCAAGGACAAAGATGGACATCAGGAACTGCTAATGTCTATCCAGTTCTCACCGGTGACCAGAACCCTAAGAAGGGACACTTTCGTTAAACCCCTTTTACCCACAGGGAAACTGAGGCTCAGAGCGCCGAGGTCATTTGCTCAGAATATACGGCTTATCGTCCATAGAGTCTGGATTTGAACACCACTCTGCATCTCCAGGGTGAATGCTTGGAGTCACAGTGTTTTCCGACCTCTCTGTTCAAGCACTGTGTTGCTGCTGCTTCTAATACTGACGATCAAAGCAACAGTGACAAATGCACGGTCTTCCATTTCTTCATTTCTCCTGGCTCTGTCTGCACCCAGCCCTTTGCATACTTCCCTCACACCTACAGGGGTAGGCGACAACTGATTTCCCATTTTATAGATGAAGAAGCTGCAGCTAAACAGAAAAGTCCCTGGTCCCAGAGACAGCTCAAGCCACACTGGGATTTGAATTGGGGCCCCCTGGTGGCTTTCTCTGCTTCAACTGCCACCCTTGGGAGGATCTGGGGAGACCAGATCGAGGAGATGCTCAAGGTCAGGGAAAGGAGCAAGTGAGGGAGTAAAAAGGGCTCTGGGCTCTTGGCTAGCCCTCCAGTGACCGGCTGGGTGGTCATGGAATCATTTGTCCGTTCACCGAATGAGTATTTATTTAGTGTCGGTCATGAGTCAATTACCAGGCTAGACACTGGGTAGAGCGCTCTTGGACACAACCAATGTGGTTCTTGCCCTCACGGAGCTTCCACGCAGGCAGCCGTGGGAGGCGTAACTCTGTAGGTGACCGCACGATTGAAAGTTAAGGTTAGCACTCCAAGGGAGAAGGACCAGGTGTCCAAAGAAAGGCCAGATGGGGGTCTATAAATCGGATGGCAAAGAGGTGCCAGGACGGTGTCCCAGACGACATGACATATAGACTGAGACTGGAAGGATCCTAGGAGCTGAAGAGGCAGAGAGGGAGGAAAGGTTCTCCTGGGAGAAGGAACAGCATGTGCAAAGCACCTGATGTGGAAAAGGCTTGGGGCATGTGAGGAATGGGGAGAAAGAGGTTCCTGGCGCCTTGTGAGGGAAGGAGAGAGTGCCATGGGATGAGGTTGGTGGGTGGGCAGAGGAGGGGCTGGCAGCCAGGCACAGGCACTGGGGTTTGGCCTGAGAGCAGAGGGAGCCGGCAGCCTCATTGGGATGGGGTAAACCTCAAGGGCATGGTGGACGGAGGCACGCTTTGAAGCAATGACATGTCCTACTGTAAGGGAAGGACATCCAAACCGGGCAGTGTACTGGGCTTGAATTTCAGAAAGACACTTGGAAGATACTGCACACGGGAGGTCCCACCCTCGGACCTTAGATTCCCCTTCTTTCAAATTCAGTCTCAAAGCACAGACCACACCCTCCAAGTGGCATGCATCCGTGCACACGCAGGCACACACACTTCCCAGGCACCCTGCCTCTAGCGGCACTGCCCCTGGCCCCCAGTTTGCTCCTCTGTCTGGCCATCCATTCATTCATTCATTCAGCAGATGTGCACTGAGGCTTCCTGGGTCCTGGGTCCTGACACGGGCCCCTGGCCACCCAGAGATCAATGACATGTGACCTTGCCTTCAGGAACTCAGGCTACAGGAAGAAAGAACACGAACAGATCCGATGCATGACCCAGCTGATGCTCTGACCCCTGCACACCCTTCCATGACCCACACAACCTCTGTCTCCTGTGGGAGGAACCCCCAGCTTTCCCAGACAGGCAGGGTCTCTCTCTCTCTCCTCTCTGAGCTCCTGTCGTGGGGGCTCACTGAGGACCATGATCATTGGCGTTTGCTGTGTGCTCAGCATTGTCCTGGGTGCCTTAAGGGAACTTTTTAAATCCTCATCAGGGTCCCGTCGTACAAATGAAGAAACTGAGGCCCAGAGAAAAGTCTCTTGTCTGAGGGTGCCCAGCCAGGAAGCGGTAGAGCCGGGATTTGAACCCAGGAAGCTTGGCCCTCCAGCGCTACACTACTCAGCTCCTCTGCAGCCGAGAGTCGGCAAAGACTCCCCCGTCTCGCATTCACTGCCACGTCTGCTTGCTTCCCGTTTCCAAGCCTCATTCTATCCAAGAACACACGTCACCAGCCCTGCGAAGTCTGCACGTGAGGGCTACTGGCACCGTTTTCCAGAAGCACACAGAAGAACCAAAGAGAGGCAAAGTCCAGGAACAGCAGCCACTGGCCGCTCAGGGAGCCCTGGGCTTGGCCCTGGCTTCCAGCACCTGTCTCAGAGCCCCAAGAAGCAGGCCCCATGCTGTCCCCAGAGGAGAACCCCTGGCGAGGCGGGAGGTGAAGTCAAGGTGGCTTGGCCTCATGCGCCACACCAGGTGGCAGGAAAGACTGTGGGTTCAGACTGGGGACTGGGGCAGGCCACTGACCTGGGAGACCATTCCTTCAACTGTCAGAGGGGGTCCTGACACCCTCCTGAAAGGCCAACCCTGCGGGGGGACCACTCCCACAGGGCCTGGCATGGTGTCAGGGTCCCCAAATGCTCATTTTCCCTCTTTTGCCTTAACACGTCCTGCCGACGGGCGGCATTCCGGCAGCTACGATTCACGCTCAGGGCAGGGGATGTCCAGGGGGCTCTCTGGGGTATACCCTGGACAGTCTAGGCCCTGGAGAACTGTTTGTCCTTGACTGCCTCCTAGAGTGGTTAGCTCCCCTGCCCGACCCTCACCCTCAGCCTGGCCCGGCCCTGCCCTGCCCGGTTACCTTTGATCTTCTCCCCCTTGCTCAGGGAGATCTCCCCCTCCGCTTGGGCCTGGTAGGACTTCACGGCCATGAAGGAGCGTCCAGGTACGGCTGAGTAGAGCTTCCTACGCCTCCCGCGGCTGCCCAGGGAGCCCCCAGGGCCCCCCCGAGCCCCCCGTGCCCCCTGCCGGCCCTTCCCTGGGCGTCCCGCTGGAGCTGCATACACAGAGGGTGTGAGAGGCAGGGGAGAGTGGAGGGAGGGGGCACCTCTGGGAGAACAGGGGTCCGTGGGGTGGTGGGAGATGGAGCATCAAAGCGGGGAGGGGGTCTAAGTGGGCTTCCCAGCTCTGGCATCCTTAGGGAAAGAGGGCATTTGGGGGCTCCCTCTGCCGGCCCACTGCTGCCCCCCCCCGCCCCCCCCCCCCCCCCGGCCCCCTCCTCTGCCTCCTGGCTTCCGGCTCTGCCCCTCCCACGGCCCTGCATGCTGTGCCTGATTCAGCTTCCTGAAGTGGAGCTCTGACTGTGTCATCTCTCAGCTCCCTCACGAGCCTTCAGCGACTCCCAGCTTCCTCCTGGTGCAGGTCCAACTCCTCTGCCTGCCATGCCCAGCCCGCCATGATTTTTCGCTCTTCCGTGTCCTTAGGACATACCGGCCAGCCACAGTCCCCCTTCTTCTCCTCTTGCCACCCTGGCTCTTTACCCCCGCAGAATGCCCCCTGCTTGTCCTCCCCTCTACCATGAGTGGCTCCTCTGCTCCGCCACCCCTCCTCTGGCCTCGTCTCTAAGCTCAGATACCCTTCCCCAAGTCCCTTGTCCATCCCACCCCATTTGGCTTTTTCTCACCTTGCCCTGTCTGTCTGTCTTTCCTCAGGGGCTGGAACCAACATTTCCACTGGGCTCCCCACCCCTGACCCCTGGCACCGAGCAGGTGCTCAGCTAAACTGGCACATTCCAGGACAGGTGCAAGACTGCGGCTTACAAGGCCCTCCCCTCCTCAGGGGGCAGGAGCAGGAGCAAGATCTGGAGGCCTGAGGGGGTGGACCACGGCCTGGGGTGGATGGGGCACCAGCCTAGGTGGGGGCAGTTGCGGCTCCGAGGATAGGATCTGGTTGGGACCAGGGCTGAGCTTTCCCCTACCTGGGCCGTCCACGGGGCTGCCTCTTGGCCTCTTCGGGGTGCCTCCCGCGGGATGGGGAGCGGGCCCGTGCGCCCCGGGGGCTGCTGGCACTTCGGAGGGTCCCACTGCTGAGCTTGGTGCTGGGGGCCGAGGGCTGCGACTGGCCCTGGGGCCCTGAAGTAGGGCCAGGGGCCCCAGAGGATGAGGTCCCCGGGGCGGCGAACACCATCCAGTCGGGCAGGGCCATGCTGGTATCACTGTTGGCCCGAAGCAGCGCTGGGGGCACCGTCAGCCCTGCGCCTGGGGGTCCCCGTCGCCGGGCTGCATACTTGGGGGACTCCTGGAAGGGCACTGAGAGGGCATAGCAGCAGGGGGCAGAAGGAGCAAGGGAGACAGGCAGGCGGAGGGGGTGTGCAGACAAGGGAGGAGAGGCATGAGGGGAGAAAGACAGCCGTGAGAGAGTGGGGGGTGGGAATTGCACCCCTTATTACCCTAATTACCCCTCATTACTATTCAGATAGTAGTCTCACTCACAGCCCACTGACCCCCCAGTCCCCCCATACACCCCCAGGTCCCCATAGGATCTCCCCTCAGCCCCACCCACCCCTGCTCGCTCACCCACATCCTGTTCTCGATGGTTTCGGATCAACTCCCCCAGTTCAAAATTCCCAGCGATCACTGCCACCTGGAGGGAGGGGGCACAGGGAGGTGGGGTGGCCCAGGCAGCAGAGGGGGAGGGTGGGAAACACGGTGAGGACCCCTGCCCCCCAAACCTTCACCCCAGCAACTGCACCCCCTTCTCTCCCAAACCACCAGCCTCTCCGCCAGCAGCCCTACCTGTCCCGCCTTCCTCACCCCCTGCCTTCTTTGTACACCGCCCCCTACCCCCGCCAGGCCAGCCCTCACAGCCCCACACCTGGAAGGGGGTCTGTCCGTTGTTATTCTTCACATCCTTGTTGGCTCCTCGATAGAGGAGAATCCGAGCACAGGTCTCCTGCGGACGAAAGCGATGGTTGGTACCAGAGAGTGAAACAAAAGGAAACCATGAAGGTCATGAGCAGACAGAGGCACTGGGCTGAGAACTTCAGGAACAACCTGATCTAAACCTGCCTGGCCCAGGACAGCGGCCACTTGCCACACGTGGCTCAAGAGCCCTTTAAACGTGTCCGGTCCGAACTGAGCTGAGCTATACGTGTAAACTACACACCAGATTTCAAGAACTTAGCGTGAAAAAAAATTACACATCTCTAATAATTGTTGTATGGCTTGCATGTTGACAGGATAATGTTTTTGGAAACCATGGGTTACTGAAATATGCTACAAAGATTAATGTCACCTGTCAACTTTTTTTTTTTAATGCAGCTCCTGGGACACTTAAAATTACACGCGTGACTCGTGTGACTGTCTATTGGACGGCGCTCATCAGAATCAGAGATTCTCGACCTCAGCACTACTGACATTAGGGGCCTGATCCACCTTTGTCGTGGCAGCTGTCCTGTGCATGGCAGGACGCTTAGCGGCATCCCTGGGCTCTACCACTAGATGTCACCAGCACTCCCTTCTCTAGCTGTGAAAACGGAGAATGTCTGCACACAGGGCTAAATGTCCCCTGGGGCCAGGAGTGCTGAAGTCCAGAGCCACCAACCCAGGCTTCATGGAGGGCTTCCTATGTCGCAGGTCAGGGGCATAGCACTTTAGAGGCGAAGCTCACTGTATTGCCCAACAGTTCCACGAGATGGAAATTGCTATCCCTATTTGACAGAGGAGGAAGCTAAGGCATCACAAGGAGCCCCCGGTCATGCAGTGGGTGACTATCAGCGGTTGGATTTGAACGAAGATCTCTCAGGCTCCAGAGTCTTTCCCCTTATCATGCATTCTGCTAGACCCAGAAGGAAGGGGGTGGGCAGAGGGGGCCAGGGTTGAACAGTAGGAGTTAGGAATGCCATCCATGTCCAGATCGGTGCCTTCCTAATGTCAACCACGTCACTCCCTCTCGCTATCTAGATAAATCCCAGTGGCCTCACCATGGCCCTAGAGACTCCAACTCCACCTGGTTTGCCTGCTCTCCTACCTCCAGCCTCATCAACTTCATATTCTGCCATCTTTGTTCACTCCCCATACTCCAGCCACACTGGCCTCCTTCTTCCTCTGACAGGCATGTTCCTGCCCCAGGGCCTTTGCACCTGCTGCTCCCTCTGCTTGGAATTAATTGTCTGCCCCTAGATTTCCACATGGCTCATTTTCTCACTTCATTCAGGTTTCTGCTCAAATGCCATCTCTTCGGAGAGGGTGTCTCTGGCTACCTTGTCAAAATAGCTCCCTATCTTGTTCCCTGTTTTATTTTTATTTATACGATGCCCACTACATGCCAGGCATTCTTCTAAGCCAGTATTAGCTCATTTTCTTCATGATGCTATTTCCCTCAAATGACATTTCTCTTTCACTTGTCTCATTAGCATCTCTCCCCCACTACATCGTGAGTTTTACATAGGGGCGCCCAGCACTTGGAATAGTGCCTAGACCACAGGAGCTGTCCAATACACTGTTACTGGAGTCTTCCACCATTTGTCTTGCCTGACCAAACCCAGCCTGGCCCCAGATCAACTCCCCTCTCCAGCTCCCCCTGATGCAATTCAACCAGCATTCACAAAGCACCCCTCGGTCTCACTCTCTTCGTGTAACAAGCACGCCAAGGATGCTTGTATGATCCCGTTCTACAGGACAGGCTCAGAGAGGGCAAATCTGTGCCCAAAGTCACATAGCCGGGGAGTGGAGGAGCTAGAACTCAAACGTGGCCTCTGAAGCCCAGGGCTCATCTATGTCTTATGGGCGTACAATGCCGGTTGCCTAAGTCGATCCCTGAACAGCGAAGTTAGCTCAGTTTTCTGGGTGTGTTTGGGAGGGTGTGAGAGTGTGTGTGTGCGTCCAAGTGTGTACATGCTGACCCCCGATTAGACTGTTAACTGCTGTTTGTGTGTTTTTGCGTGTCTGCCCGCCTCCACCATCGCCTTGCCCAGCCTAGGCCCAGAGCATCTCCTCCAGCCCAACCAGCAATGCACCCTATGCCTCGAGAACCTCAATTTACTGGTGTCCTAGCACTGATCTCACGGCACTGCAATCCCTTGTCTACATAGCTGCTTCTTCGCCAGGTGTGAACGCTCCCCCAGCTCCCCAGACAGGCACCATGCTGAGCCCGATTCATCGCCCATTGGTAGGTGCCCACGGAACATGCACGGGGATGGAGGAGGAGGACAAGGAGGAGGAAGGACATGGAGCCGAGTCATTCAGAATTCATTTGTTCAAGTCATTCATTCACTGAGTCATTCAGTCTATTGCAAAGAAAACACCTGTTGTATATTCTGAGGGGGGCTCTGTGTGGTCCTGGGGCAAATTCAAGGTTGCTGATTCATAATTTATCCGTCCGCTCACTTATTCAACATAGAGGCATAGTAGAGCCGAGTACTTCCTGCAGCCTCGGGGCTGAGTGAATGATCAAACAGCCCCCACCCTTGAGGAGCTCATGGCCTTACGTAAACATAAACCTGACCTTCACCAGCAGGGGAGAGACGGCCATGTCGGGAGGCCATTCGGGGAGAGTGAGGGAATCGGTCAGACCTAGCTCCGGCTCTGGGGAAGCTTAAGGTCTGGGAGGGCAAACGAGGTAGGGAGAAGCACAAAACGAACTCTCTCTGTCTCAACATCTACTAGCTAAGCGCCATGCGAAGACGTCCATCCACTTGAGCCTTTGCTCCATAGGTGTTACTGACCCGTTGCACCGAGAGAGGAGAAGCTCAAGGAGGCTCCTCTGACCAAGGGTAATTGCTCCCACACTCTAGTTCTTTATACTAAGTTTTCCCTGTTGAAATTAATGATACAGTTTCCGTGTCCTGATGAACAATGCTTCCTTCTGGGGATGAGCGCTCAACACACATGGTCTTTCCTCCCCTTCAATCAGCTGACGTCATCCCCACGGCAGGGAAAGGACAGAGCCTGAGAGAGGGCTTGTCTGGGTGGTGGGGGGGGCGGTCTGCCCACAGGCCATGCACTGAGGCCGTGGAGCGGGGGAATCAAGGGGCAAGAGAGACAGAAACACTGGGGAGGGGACATGACAGCACTGCGTTGGTTGGGTTTGACAAACACGGAGTTCTCCCTCAGCAGAGCAGACTGCTTTGCTACCACAAGGCAGCACGTGGCTACCTGCCACATTCCCAGCACTGCAAGTTCTGATGAGGCAGAAGGGGCTGGGGCTGTCTTGGAAGACTTCCTGGAGGAGGGGGAGAAGTGGTTGGCAGACCAGCACCAGCGTGCCAAGCCCCGCTCTGCGGAGTTCCTGAGGCACCCCTTCAAGGGCAGGAAGCCCTGGATAACAGGGAAGGAGACTGAGGGGCTGATTCACACAGATCTCCTAGGGCTGGGGTCAGCAGGCTGAAAGTTCCAACCGGCTGGTTCTGGTTCTGGTTGGTGAGGCCCCTGCTAGCTCTTTCTGGCTCACCTCCTCCCACGGCTCCTGAGGTGGGGGCCGTCCACCCAACCCTGAACTGCTACAACTTGCAATACACTCTTGCTCCCTTCCAGGATGTGGTTTGGCCTTTCCTCTGTCCCCTGCAGCGCCCTCCAAAAGGCACTGCACACAGCAGGTCCTCTGCGAGCAGCAGAATGGAGACACACAGGAAAGGGGACCTGGGGAGCAACTCTCCGGTCTGGGGACAGTCCTGATGTGCTCTCTCCCCTCTGGTTTGCTACCCAGGCTGTGCCCACAGCCTGGGACACCCTTTCTCCCCTTCCGATTCAGTTGACTCCTGCTTGTCCTAGCACTGTCCTAGCATTTTCTGAGGGACCACTTCCACCCCAGCCCCAAGGCCAAGCCCAGGATTCCGGCTCCCATGGGGACCTAGATCCCCTGGGACCTCCCTCCCACTGCCCTATACCCTAATGGGAAGTCCTGCCCGGCCAGGGGTGCTATCTGTCTGGCTCGCTACCTAGTCCTCAGCACGGGGAAGGTGCTCAGTAAATATCTGTTGAATGAATGAAGGCACAGACGAACGAACGAATGAAACAGTGATGGAACCGGGGGCGCAGGGAGGCTGGGAGGCTGGGGGCAGGAGGAGGGCCCCAGGCAGGCACTGCCAGAGCAGACCTTATTGTAGAGGGCGCAGATGTGCAAGGCCGTGTTCCCCGAGGCGTTCTGGGCTCCAGGCTCAGCCCCGTAGAAGAGCAGGTGTTCCAGGTGCTGAGAATGACCCCGCTGGCAGGCCTGGGAGGACAGGAAACCCAGAAGGCCACATCAGAGTCTCCCAACCATGGCATCTATCTGTAGCCTGAGGCCAGCAAACCCTCCTTCTCCCTCTCTTTTCAGCCTCCATTCCTGCCCAGGGGCCCAGACTATCAGCTTCCCGGGTCATTCCGAGACCCAGGTCTGGCCCCGCAAGAGGCTCAAGAGACCATCGCCAGCCATCTCAGGGATCAAGATGTCCAGTGTCCCCCGTCCTTGCCTCCCCATCTTTTTCTCCTTGGAGACCATGCTCGTCCCGCCCCCACGCTCTGTGAGGAACCCAGCATCTGGATCCCCAGCTCTTTGCACCAGGGTGTCTGATCCTTGCTCTGATCAGGGCCCAGGCACACCCCCTCCGCACACATCCCCACCCCCCAACCCCTCCTGGCCGAGTCTGGAGCACCTGGTGGATCTCCTGCCAGCCGTTCTCATCAGCTATGCCCAGCTGGGCCCTGTTGTAAAGGAGCAGCTCACAGCAGCGGGGGTCGCCCCCCACCATAGCCGTATGGAACAGAGGGGTCAGGCCTCGGCGGTCCTTGTAGTTGGGGGAGCCCCCAAGGTCCAGGAGTGCCTGAGGAGGGAGACAAGACAGAAGACTGTCCCACTAGTCCTGGCTCAACCTGAAGGGACCAATGGGGCAGGGAGTCTTGGGTGACCCTCACTGGCCAAGGCTGTTTTGGGTTCTGCCACGATGCCCTTGTATGACCTTGAGGCTGGCTCTTCCCCCGCCCCGTGGCTGACTTTGAATGAGACATGGAAGGAGCCTGGTGCCTCAGCGCCTCATCCTAGAAGGACAGTTGGGGGACCATGGGAGTGAATAGTCTGGACGCAGGAAGACCCCTGGCCAGGCAGGAGGCGTGGTTGGGACCAGCATCCCAAGGATGGGATGCAGAAGGAAATCTGGGAAAAGGGCAAGCTCGGACGAAGGGGAGTCGAGCCAGCCTCGCTGAGGCCTGGGGGCTGGGGGACAGGGGGCATCCCGCTCCAGGAACAGCTCCAGGCACAGAGGCTGGCAGAGCTGAGCATCATTAGAGAAGTGTTGGCTTCTCTAACACTTGGCTGTGCGAGGACAGCCTGCAGCCGCGCTGTCCACCAAGACGTTTGCAGGAAACAGCCTACAACCGCCCCGCCCATCCGACACGGCAGCCACACGTGGGCTCTGGGGTGCTCGAATCTGCCAGTGAGCCCAAGAAACAGAAGTGTTCGTCTTAGTTCACTTTAATTAATTTACATCTAAACAGCCCCATGTGGCCAGTGGCTACAGGACTGGACAGAGTCGGTCTGGAGGCCGCATGGTGGTGAGAGCAGGATCGGTCTGGGGGGAAGGGAGCAGACTGGGGGTTCATCCAGAGGGCCTAAGCTGATCTCTGTGGCTGGCGTCTGACTGCATTTAGGGCCTTCAGAGCAGCTGGAAAAGGGAAGGGAGGGTCGATTCCGCTGGAGCATCTGCGAGCTGGGGTTTTATCAACAGCTACATATCTCTGGGGGCGGTCTATCCTGACCTGTGTACGAAGAGGGATCAAGTGCCATTGGGGTGAGGGGAGAGGAAGGGGATTTTAAAATAAGACCACGTAAGTGGAGATGCGGGTTCATCTACCTGGGAAAGTGCATTTTAGTTGCAAAGCACAGGGAAGGGCTGCGTCTGCTTCTGAGAGAAGGGGAATGAGCCCCAGGCAGGAAGGGTAGGTGAGGGGCTGCATCCGGAGGTATGGGGGGCGGTGCCTGGGGAAGGTAGGTGGACGGGCTGTGTTTGCAGGGAATGTGTGTGAGCACACGGAGGAGTGTCTGCATCTGGGGGCCCAGCAGGTAGCTCACGGTGTACTTTAAGGAACAGAGGAGGGAGGGATGACACTTCAGGGAGACAGAGGCAAGGCTGGGGGTGAGCTGGGTCAGAGGGAGCCAGAATGTCTGGGTAGCAGAAGAGTACAGGTATTAGGATCTCCCTGGGCTCTTCCAGGGGAAAGCTCCCTGTGACAGTGCCCCACAGGGTGGGTGCACCCGGGGAGCAGCAGAGGGTCTCGGAGTCCCTTGGAGGAGTGAGCACGGGGGTTGCATGTGTGTCAGGCTCTGGAAAGGGGCTTTGTATTTGGGACACGAAGAGAGACTATTTTTACCTAATCTAAAGAACTGAGGCTTGAGAGAGAACAAACGGGAAAGGGAGAGGAGTCTGAGGGAAGAGCAGAAGTGGCATCCCCACGGGGACGTGGGAGGGGACCCCCAGGAGGCGAGATGAGAGGCAAAGGGGAGACCAGATGTTCTTGTCGGGTCAAGGGAGATGAAGGGGAGGAGGAGGGCGGGTCTGGGGCAACTTGCTGCAGTTCAACCTGTTAGGGGACCACTGCAGTCTGGGGGAGGGTCCCGGGGGCCTGGCACCTCACCGTGAGAGCGAGGCAATGACGGGCACACGCAGCTTTGTGCAGCGCTGTCATGCCGTCGCGGGCTCGGAAGTCGATGTGGGCCCCTCCCAGGCACAGGGTTCGAATCACTTCCACGGAGCCTTCCGTCTGGGCAGCCAGAGTCAGGGGGGTCTCTAAAGGGCAGGAAAGGCCAGTCATATGCAGCCCTTATGCCTCATTTTGGGCTCCCCGCCAAACCTCTTCCAAAGCACCTGGCTCCCTCCCTACCTCCTGAATCCGAGTCGTGATAATTGGGGTCCAGCCCCTTGTCCAGCAGCCGCGCCACCTTGTCAGACGTCCCGAGCTGCACGTACTCCAGGAACTTCTTCAACCCCGTCTGAGTCACGGACAAGAGAGAGAAGACAGGCTGGTCAGGGAGCAAGGGAAAAAAGCTAGGGTCCCAAGCAGAGCTGGCCAGTGGAAATACACAGCTGAGCCGCATGGGGCATTGGAAAGTCTCTAGGAGCCATCTTTATAAAAAAAAAAAAGAAAGAAAAAAAAAAAAGAGGAAGAGGCACTGTTGATTGTACCGAAATTCATCTTAATGACCTATTTTTTTAACCTAATCTAGCCACCATACTACCGCATCAACAGGTAATCCATAGGAAATGTATCAAGGAGAGCGTTTACTGGGGCGCCTGGATGGCTCAGTGGGTTAAAGCCTCTGCCTTCGCTCAGGTCATCTCTGCTCAGCGGGGAGCCTGCTTCCTCCCCTCTCTCTCTGCCTGCCTCTCTGCCTACTTGTGATCTCTGTCTGTCAAATAAATAAACAAAATCTTAAAAAAAAAAAAAAGGAGAGAGTTTACTCTTTTGGGGCACCGAGTCTTCAAAATCTGGTGGACATTTCACAGGCACAGCAAGGCTCAGCTTGGACCTGCCGCACCGGAAGTACTTGGGAGCCATATGTGGCCAGTGGCTCCCAGAGTGGCTGGTGCAGGTCTGGAGGGATGAATATTTGGGGGAGGACAGAGAAGAATGCATGGAGGGGTCAGGGTGGGGCATGAGGAGGGGACACAGGCTTTTTTCCCAAGTGTCAGGAAGCCTTCTCTTCACCTCTGGCTAAAGCAGCCCCCTGGTTTCCTCCCAGGTCTTAGGGGACCAGGGGAGACACAAGAGACATATATATGGTCAGAGGCCTAGAGGGCAACATGGCTCGATGTGGCCGGGGGTGGGAGACATCCCGGGAGAGTTTAGGCTATGGGACTGGGGGAACTGTGGAGTGTCTCAGAAACAGCCCTGAGGCAGAGGGACACTGTGTGTCAGAGTTCAGGCCAAGTGGGGGGAAGCAGGGGCTCTGTGTGGATATGGGGGACCCAGAGATGAGATGGGAGAGTCCAAGGAAGAAGAAAGTAGGAGGAAGGGGGAAATAGGGGGGCCTGGGCAAAGCAATGAGAGGCAGAGAGGGGAATGAAGAAGGGCTATGATGGAGAAAAAGTGGTGGCATTTGGGGCTGTCCCAAATGCAACACAGCATCTCGAGCTAGTGGGGGAGCCTGGCAGAGGAACAGAAGGGGCTGGGGAGGGTGGAGGGCTGTGGGGAAGAGGTGGGAGAGGAAATGGGAAAGTGGGGGGGGGGGCCAGGCTTTGTGGGGGGTGTTGGTGGGTAAGCTCCAGGAGAGTTCTCTCACCTTCGTGTGCAATTTGGCCAGCTGCTTCTCATCCAGGTTGGTCTGCTTGTAAACCCGGGTCTTGTATCGGAACTGTGGCCAGGGGGGTATGAGGGGAGAGACACAGAGACTTGGAATCAGGGGCTTGGGGAGGAGGCTGGACTCCTTTTGAGCTGGGGGGAGGAGGGCTGGTCATCTCAGGGTCAAGGTGGAAACAACCCTGGAGCCTCGGCTGGGCAGGCAGAGGAGTGCGGGGCTGCTGTGAAGTATGTGGACTGCAACCCCTGACTTGGAGGAATGGGAGTCTGGACCCCGCACAGAATGTTCTAGAACACCTACGTAATTGTGAATCCTTTCCCACTTTGAAAGGCGAGGAGAAGCTTGGGGCAGGGAAGTGACTTGCCCAAGGCCACTCTGTTGGTCAGAGGCAGAACAGGCTGTCCTTTGAACTCAGGCCTCTCTGACTCTACCGCTGAGGAGGAGATCTGGAAGAGCCCCCGGGGTTTTCCCTTGCAAGGGCATGACGGGGAAAACAACGGGGCCTGCCTTCTCTCCTCTGTGACCAAGCTGGTCAGGCTGTGGGCCTCACCTCCAGGTAGGGCACCCCCTTCTCAAAAGACTGAGGGTACTCCCGGAGCAGCCGCTCCTCCTCCAGGAAGTTGGCATCGCGGCCTGAGGTGGCCGGCTGGAACAGACCGTAGTTAAGCACGTCCTGCAGGCTCTCGCTCAGGGCGCAGAGCACCTGCTGCTTGGCTGTCCAGATGGTGGCATCAGGGTTGAAGCGCAGACATTTCTGGTTGGGGAGGTGACAGGGAGGAGCCTGAGCTGGTTTGGAGAGGGGGTGGGGTGATTCTGGGGACAGGACTGGGACCCTGGGTTGGGGGGAAGCTTGTGGGGGTCTGGAGAGGGGGCCCAAGTGGGGGGACGCCCCGCACCAGAAGCCTCTTCCTGTGGGTTGGGGTCCCTGGTCCCTGCTGGCCAGCGGGCAGTCGGTAGGTCACTCACTGTCTGGTGCAGGTCCGGGATGCCAATCCTGAAGACCATCATGCTGAAGTGGGCGTCGTCTGGGACAGACATGGAGCGGCCCTGGAGGCCTCGGGTGGAGGCCAGACTACCAGGTGCTCCGCTGCCCTGGCCCCGGGTCCCCCGGGGGCCTCTGCTGGGCCCGTCTGGGGAGCTGTCGGACTCTGAGCCCCCCTCGGGACACTCGCTGGCACTGTGGCGTTCCTCGTCCTCGCTTGACGCGGGGCTGTGGGTCATCGTGGGGCCACGGGGCGACAGGGGACAGCAGCATCACAGGCGGCTGCCAGGGGGCCAAGGGCGGCTGTCAGATGGAAAGCCTGGGACACTTCCGAGGCCACAGGCAAGTCGTGGACAAGCGGTCTAGGGCCGCCACCCCACGTGCCCCACGCAGCCAGGAAGGAGGCTGGACACACCCCCAGATACTCCTGCCATCTCTGCTCACACACGCCCATTCCTGCCATGCTTCCAACGCGTCTCCTTCCCTGCCCTTGGCCCTCCTCGCAGCCCCCCACCCCTCCTGCGCCCCACTTTGCCGCTGACCCAGCATGGCAGTGTCCCAGAAACCGCAGAATCACCGCGGGAGCTACTGGCCCACTTTGGCAGGCCACGGAAAATGCAGCTAAAATTAGCTGAGGACAGACAGGTGGACGACCCACCGGCATCCTGGCCTCCTGGCCCCACCCAGCCTGGCCCCTCACCTGGGTCCCTCCCGTCAGCCTCCTGGAGATAGCTGGTGGTGGGAGGCTGGGTTGTAGTATTGGGGAGACAGAGGCGCCGTGAGCCTGGGGCGGCAGAAGTGGGAGGCCGCGTGGTGCCCGGGAGTGGTGCCCGAGAACGGGTGGAACTGGTGACTTCACTGAAGTGTGGCTGACAACGTGTGCAGAGGACTGCTGGGAATCAGTGTCCCACGGGAGCAGGGACACTCAGATGCGGGTGTCATGGGGCAGAGGATCACACATGGGGCATTCCTCAGGGAACCACAAGACGTGGCCTCTGCAGGCTGTCCGGGGCATCCTGAGAGGGGTGCGGGGGAGACCGGCCTGGGAGGGCCGGCTGGTGCCGGTAGTACAGTGGCCTGGGTCAGTGTGGGGTGGCTGAGGATAACCTGCGGGCGCTTCTGGGCACTGACACTACAGGACAAGGCGCTTGTCATTGCCTGGTACTGGTGGATCCACTCGGAGGGGGCCTGGGGGGCTGGGAGGGTGGCTAAGAAGTGGGGTGATGGTCTGGGGGACTGAGGTGGAAGGTCATCTCCAGATCCCCACTATTCTCTCCTGAGGTGGCCTTGTAAGCCTAGGTCCCAAATGGGGTCCACCTGCCTCTTCTTCTCCCAGTCTCCCACCCCAGCACCGGAAACCAGAATGTCTGGTCTGGTCCCTCCCCCCCACACCAGGCCCAGCTCCTGCACCGTTGCCATGGAGATGGGAAGCAGTGGAGGGTACTGCTGACTTTGGGGGAGTGGGGATGGGCTGGGGGGGGTTGGGGGAGGGAAGACAAAATGAGTGTGCGAAGAGGACAGTTCCAAGAGCTGTGGGTGAGCGAGCAGCTTAATCGCGAGCTGGCCAACCCCTCCCCCACGAGCGGCCAGGCTGCGAAGCCCCCACCCCCACCCCCCAGGCACCCAGCAGAGCTGCCTCACCTTGCCCTTGCGGAGGCCCCCCAGCCTCCAACCCGCCGGATTCCACATCCCACCTCCGGACCCGGAGCCCGCTGCCACTCCCCCTCGGCTGACCCTGGCTGACCCCAGCCCCAAGCGCGCACTAATGGGGTGGCCTGGGGGATGAAAGCAAAGCTGGCCCGGGCTCCCCCGCGCGTGTGGCTGCCCCCAACCCCCCAGACCAGCTCCGGCCCCTCCCCCTCAGGCCCGAGGGAGGGAGCGGGCACACTCCGCCGGGGCGGCATGAATCAAACGCTCCGCGGCTAAGAATAGCTGGCACGCAGCTGGTACTGAGACGGGCTGAGGAATCGGCGGGGGGGGGGGGGGGGGGAGGGGGGGGGGGGGGGGGGGGGGGGGGGGGGGGGGGGGGGGGGGGGGGGGGGGGGGGGGGGGAGGGGGTGCCCTGGGAGGCTGCGGGGGGATAGGGGGCAGCTGGTGTGGCCGAGAGCGGGGCCGGGAGAATGAATGGAGGCGGAGAGAGGCGGGGAAAGGCGGGGAGAAGAGCCGGGGCTGGGGCAGAGAAACTGGTGGGGGAGAGCCACGGGCCGGGGAGAGGGGGCGGGGGCACCCGGGAGCGGGACTCGGAGGCGGGAGCCGAGGGGGCGCGCCGGCCGGTGGAGAAGGGAGAGGAGACGGTGGGGATGAGGGGAGCTTGTGAAGGGGGTGGGAGGGGATTGGAGGAGCCTAGGAGGAGAAGCCAGAGCTAGAGGGGGTCGAAGGGGGCGGAGGAGGCCAAGGCCCAGACCCCCGACGGAGGGGCAGAGAACCAGGGTGACCTGGGGGAGGGGCCTCGCGCGGCGGGGCTGCAGAAGGGGTCTGTGGGCACTGGAAAGCCGGGGTGGGTGAGGCGGGGGAGTGGCCAGGCAGGGCCAGGAGGTGGGTACAGCGAACGAGCCCTTGGCCTGGGAGCGCGGGGAAGCGGGTTCGGGCTGGGGGTCTTACTGGCGGGGGATGGGGGGGCTCATCCTCGTCTCAAGTCGGCTATATGGGACGGGGCACGGGGGACTGGGGCGTAACCCAATTTGGCGTCGCCCGGGGCAACGCTCCCCTCCTCACCCCCACCCCCCACCGCACACCCGGGCCCGGAGCCCGGCGAGCGGCCAAGGACGTCCGGGGCGCCCCCGCCCCCTCCCGCGGCCCCGGCCCCGCAGCTCCCCCAAACCCCCGGGTTTTCGGCCCCCTTACCTGCCTGGCGGGGCTGCTGAGTCCCGGTCGGCGGCGCCCGCGGCCCCTCCCCCCTCCCCCCACCCCCCACCCCCCCGGAGACGGGGGACCCTCAGGCCATGCCCCACCGCCCCGGAGGGCGAGCGGGCCGGGGAGGGGGCGGGCGGGGGCCGGGGGGGAGGGCGGGGGGGCCGAGGACCTCACCCCCCCCGCGGGCCGGGCCTGGCCATCCGCAGAGCGCCCCCCCTTCTGCCGCGGCCGCCGCGACCCTCCGGGCTAGCCCGCCCCCGGCTCGGTCCGGCCGGCTCCGGGCGCGGCGTCTCCGCCTGCTCTTCCTCCTCCTCTTCCTCAGGCCGCCGCCGCCGCCGCCGCCGCCGCCCGCTCCGCGCCTCCTCTGCCTCCCTTCTCGCTCTCTAGCTCTCACTGTCTCTCCCTCGCCCTGTCTCTCTCTCCCTCCCTCCCTCTCTCCCTCCCTCCCCTCCCTCCGCCCTCTCCCCTCCCTCCCGAGCCAACGGAGGAGACATCGCCCCTCCCCGCGCCCCCAAACCTCGCCCATCCCCCCCCACGCCGGCTCCGCCCCCTCCCCCTGCCCTCCCCCACCACGCCCCATCGCCACCAGATAACACAACCGGGCTCTACCCCTGCTTGCCCCTCTACCCGGACCATGGGGCCCCGCCCCCCTAAGGGTACCGATACACACACACACACACACACACACACACACACACACACACACACACCCACCCAGGACCGCCCCTTCCCACAGCGCTTCCCAACCCGGCTACACACAGTAGGGCGCAATAAATATTTGTCGCTAGACTCTAAACCTCCAAATTGGATTGTGAGAGCTATAGATTCCCGTCGCCACAAACACACACACACACACCCCTTCCCCCAAGGCACAGGTGCTTAGAGTCACTAGCTGGCCCTGCACGGTCGCACGTTCCCCCACATACACTCTCCTGGGCATGCATGACCTAACATACTTGAGTGTACATCACCACAAACACACCCAGCTACAACATGCACATATCACACCCGCGTGCCAGAGCACACGCGCCGCACAGCACTCTCCCCCCCCACCCCTGCAGGGGCGCGCAGGATGCCCTGATCTCCCGCTCACGTGCAATCCAGAAATGGACACTCGCAATTGTGAGGGGTAGTGTGCATGCGGTCCCATCTCACCCCCCCACCATCCATCACACAGGTGTGCACGTGCCCATTTAGATGCACAGCCCTGTGCCGTAGCTCCCCTCCCTAGCTGACATTTCCTGAGCACTTCGCGTGTGCCAGGTTCTGCTCCTGACTGACTCGTCAACTTCTCACACCGGTCCTATGGACTATGGGACTTTCACCATCCCCATTTTCCAGAGGGGGAAACTGGGGCACAGAGAAGCTAAGTAACTTGGTGCCCAAGGTCACCTAGCTCTGAAGAGGCGGCACCAAGGAGCAGGGATGGGCAGCCAGCTCAGTCTTTACACCCCTGCCGTTCATGGCTAGGCACAACATCACGGCATGTCCTCCTTCATTGTACACAGACGCTTCCAAGGTCCCCTCACAGCTCAGGTCTCTGGTGCCCGGGACATCTCAGAGAGACAGGACAGGTCCCATAGGGCAATGGTAAGAGTGTCCCCAGAGCCCAGTCTCCTATCCTTCTTCCAGCTCCACCAGCGCCTCCAGAGCAGCCAGCTGGAGCACAGGCACCTGCAGAGGGCAGTTCGGAGACACCTCTGGCCGCATCTCCAGCTGTGGGCTCCAGGGTACCAGGGATGAGCCAGCCCTGCCCCAGGAGGCCCCACTCCGCATGCATACACCAGCCCAGGTGGCGAGCATCTGGGCCCAGGGAGAGAACAGCTGCCCACACTGGCAGCAGCAGCGAGAGAGGCTGTGAGCCCCTCTACAGTTTACGAGGACTTTCCTAGCCTGTGCATTCTCTCTCGAGGGCTCTAGCTGCTAGTGAGGAGTCCCCAGGCCCCTAAGAGGCACCCAAAAGGCTCAGGGGGTGAGCAGCCTGCCCTCCTGCCACACTGCCTTCTGCTTCCTTGGAAAAGGGAAGGCTGGAGGAGTGGATTTCCAAGCTCCCTCCTGGGGCTCCCAGCAGCTGAGGGCCCATGCCCTGCCCTTGCTTAGAGCCAAAAGCCTTGGTTAGTTGTTGCCACGCTGGTGACCTCCAGCAGGCTGCGTCGTCCCTTCTCTGAGCCTCAGTTTCTTCCCTTGAAGAGTGGGCCCTGCAGTCGCAGGCTGCTGAGCTCCATGGCGGCTGGCACAACCAGCCAGGCCCCAGCTGGGAAAGCCCTGCATGACTCACGGGTCTGGCAGAGAGTGGGCCTGGCGTGGCCTCCTGCTTCCCTTATGTCCACAGCTTCTCTCTCGTTGCTCTCACCACCTCCACCCTGGTGACCACCAGCCCCTCCCCAGCATGCCCCTGTGCCCCTGCCCCAGGGAACTTGGGATGCCACCTAAACACAGTGGTCCAGCCTTCAGCCTTTGGCTGAGCTGTTACCCTACTGGGAATGGCTATTTCTTTCCTCATGGAGCAGACTGATTGAGCACCTACTGTGTGTGAGGTTGGCCTTGTCCTCGCTCTGGGGATGCAGCAATGAAGAATGCCTGCCTTGGTTGGCAGGAGACGGACAACACACGAGGAAATGAAAAAGCAAGACAATCCAGTCTTGATTAGACCAACAAGATAAAATGGGCTGTTAAGTTGTAGAAGCGCAGCTTCCTTGGATATGATCGAGAAGGCCTCACTGAGCTGAGACCTTCATAATGAGAAGGAGCTGTGGGAAGAGGATCTAGAAGGAGCAAAAGGCTAGTGCAAAAGCTTGAGGTAGGAAGGAGCTTGGCATTCAGGAAACAGTGGAGAGGCGGTGTGGCTGGAGCCTGGGGGACAAGGGGAGGGGTGGGTGATGAGCTTGCCAAGGTGCCAAGGGCCCATCCTTCCCAGCTTCCCACTGGGCAGTCCAGGCCCCTGCTGAGGACAGGGTTTGGCTTCCCTCCTGCATATGATGGGAAGCTGGGGGAGCAGGGGAGTGGGGGGTGATGTGGTCTGATTTAAGGTTTGGAAGCATTGCTCTGGCTGCGGCAAGTAGTGTGGATTGGAGGGGCTAGGGAGAAAGGAGGGAGAGAGCCAGGAGGTGGTGACTGCAGTGGTCCAGGCGGGAGGCGAGGCACGGCTGAATGCTCAGAGCTCCACACAGCGAGCCCTGCGTCTGTCTACTCCACCTCCTGGAGGAAGCTTCCTTGACCACCACCCACCCACCCTTCCCCACTCCCTTTTGCCCTACTGTCTGCTGGTGGCTGAGGGCTGGAGTCCCCAGCATTGCCCCACCCAGGGCCTGGGCCTGCCAGAGGCTTCCAGGAGAGTACAGCCAATGAATCCCAGAACCCCGCCTTCTACAGTTGCCCGCACAGTGACATGCATACTCTCCATATGTGTCCCCACAGACAGGCACACACACTCATTTTCATCTTGGGGCAAGGGCTTGAGGCCAGGATGGGAGATCTGGGGGCAGGAGGCGCCCTAGAGCCTGTGAATCCTGGGAAAGACTCCTCCAGCAGGGTGCGTGGGCGATGGTGGTCACAGGGTAATAAAAACCTTATGGAGACCCTGCAGCCTCCCTGGTCCTGAAGAGTGGCCAGGAGGAGGAGTAGGGAGCAGGGCCAAACCCCAAGAACCCCCTGAGGGTGTTCCTGGGCACAGGTCACGTCCCCAGGATCCTTTGGAGAGCCAGCTCCATCCTCTTCGGGCCATCTGAGCTTTTGGCCATGGTGGAAGGAAAGGGCAGGGCGGAAGTGAGCTCTGGAAAGTGGGAAGAGGGGGGTATGTGGGGAGACCCAAGGCGGGATCCAGGCTTTGGAACGTTGGAGGTTTCCGGCCACAGAGGCAGGGCCTCAAGGGAGCCAAGGGAGGCGGGGAGAGACACACACAGAGAGGAGCAGAGACCAACGGACGAACAGACCGGTGGACAGAGACAAGAGCTGGGAGGAAAGGGACGGGAGAGAAGCTGGGAGAGGCAGAAACCAGGGACTAGTGATTTGCACGCACTCCCCAGCGCCCAGAGACATCCGTCTGCAGCCTTGGGAGCTGCAGAGCTCAGCCTGATGCAGGCAGCCTGGCTGCTTGGGGCCCTGATGGTCCCTCAGCTCCTGGGCTTTAGCCATGGGGCTCGAGGAGCGGACAGGGAGTGGGAGGGGGTCTGGGGAGGAGCCCAAGAGGAGGAGCGGGAAAGGGAAGCCCTGATGCTGAAGGTGAGTTGCTTGGGACTTTGATGGGGAACTGTAGGTGTTGGAGGGAGGGTATTACAGGGTTAGGGAAATAGGCAAGGGAGAGTGAGTGATGGGGCAGGCTCAAAGGATGGGGATGATGGATTCCGACAAGGGACTCAGGGGCAAGGCTTACTGCTGGAAAGGGGTGGTTGGAGCGTGTGGGGCGTCTGAACGCAGCTGGGCTGGCCCTAACCATCCCTCCCCCGCCTCAGCATTTGCAGGAGGCCCTGGGACTGCCCGCTGGGAGGGGGGACGAAAACCCCGAGGGAACCCCTGAAGACAAAGAGACCTGGGGGACCGAGGAGTACGGTCAGGGGGAGGAAGAGGAGGAAACAACGCCGACGCCAACCTCTAGCCCTAGCCCCTCTCCCACCCCTGAGGACGCCGTCACTTATATCCGTGAGTAATCATTAGCTCCGCCCTGCCCCCAGGCCTCTGTGGTCCTTTTCTCAAAAAACGAACCATCCTTTCACTGCCGCGGACCTTTCAATGGCCCACCGCCCAGTCCCCCACCCCTCACGTCCCTGGGAGCTCCGCGTCCCTGGTCTTGCACTCCCAAGAGCCCCTACCTTCCAGAAATCCCGAGTGCCGCCCACCGCAACTCTACCCCCAGAAGCCCTAGCTGCCCCCCAGGCCCTTTGGTCCGCCAGCTCCGCTTCCCAGGTCCCGCCCAGCGTGCTCCTTGTCTGCCCGCAGTGGGCCGCCTGGCCGGCCTGGACGCAGGCCTGCACCAGCTGCACGTCCGTCTGCACGCGTTGGACACCCGCGTGGTCGAGTTGACTCGGGGGCTGCGGCAGCTGCGGGAGGCGGCAAGCGACACCCGCGACGCCGTGGAAGCCCTGCAGGAGACGCAGAGGCGCGCCGAGCGCGAGCATGGCCGCTTAGAGGGTGAGTCCGCGCCGCGCGGGGCAGGGAAAGTGGGACGATCCGGGTCAAGTGGAGGACCGGTGGAAGGAGGGGGCCCAGAAACATCTGAAGAGACGTGAGGACCCAGGGTGTTAGGGGCGAGCGGTTTCCTAGAGATGTGCACGGTGTTGGCTTATGGAGAGCTTAGAGTAGCCGGGAGGGTGAATGCGGAGAGCGGGCGCGCGGAGAGCGGGCGCGCGGAGGGGGAGGCCCGCTCCTACCGCGTTGTGGAGCTTACCCGACTCGGGCCGCGCCACGCCCCCTACAGTCCGGTTCCAGCCGTCTGGCCCCGCCCCCAGCGGTCCCAACTCTCCGCCTCCTTACTCCCGGTGGCTCCGACCCCGCCTCCTCCCAGCCCCGCCCCGGAGGCTCCGACCCCGCCTTCCCCCCCGCCCCCGGACCCCCTGACCCCGCCCCTCCTCGCCCCCAGGCTGCTTGAAGGGGCTGCGCCTTGGCCACAAGTGCTTTCTGCTATCGCGCGACTTCGAGGCGCAGGCGGCGGCGCAGGCGCGGTGCGTGGCACGGGGCGGGAGCCTGGCACAGCCCGCAGACCGCCAGCAGATGGAGGCGCTCACTCGTTACTTGCGCGGGGCCCTCGCTCCCTACAACTGGCCCGTGTGGCTGGGCGTGCACGACCGGCGCTCCGAGGGACTATATCTCTTCGAGAACGGCCAGCGCGTGTCCTTCTTCGCTTGGCACCGCACGCCCCGTCCGGAGCCCGGAGCCGGTCCTAGCCCCGCGCCGCACCCGCTCAGCCCCAACCAGCCCAACGGCGGCACGCTCGAGAACTGCGTGGCGCAAGCCTCGGATGACGGCTCCTGGTGGGACCACGACTGCGAACGCCGCCTCTACTACGTCTGCGAGTACCCCTTCTAGCGGGGCCTGTCCTCGCGTCTCCAGCCCATCCCACCACTCGCCCTTTGGCTGGGCGGTTCATCCTGCGAGTACGCCCTTCCCTCCTTTTCTCCCTACCCACGGATGGAAGCGTGTTCCCCCTGGCTGGGCGATCCCAAGGGGTCTTCTGTGGAGCCGAGAGCCCTTCCTCGCCTGTGTCTTTCTTGGGAGCGGCGGGCACCAGGCTGTTACACGCCAATAAAGCCTTGTGGAATCTGACTTGAGCGGGCGGTGGAGGCACTTTTGGTCTTATCCCGTCGCCGGGCAAGCCTGGAAGGGCAAGACCCTGGCCTTTGGATGCCTGTCCTGTTCCGCGTTTACAGGTATCGTTTGAACCCCAGAATCAGAGTGATGGAGAACACATGTACAAATGTACGCACATCATCTGCTCCTGCACATAGATGCCTGGAGTGCACGTGTGTACGTGCTGCTGACGCGTCTACTCCTGTTGTGTCCCACTCACGGCCTTTGGGACACAGGGTCTGTCAGTCATTGTCCAGGCCTTTGCCTTGGTCCTGGTCAAAGAGATCTGGGAAATACAAAGGAGCTAAAGGTTCTGACAAGTCCTGCAGGAAATAGCCCCTTTAATTTTGTTTAGTTGGTGTATCTCACACTCTTGCCACCAGATGGTTCCTCTGCATCATGTAATGTCAGGCCCTGCCCCACTCCCTTCCCCTACCCCCAGGGGCATGTGTTGAGAAGCAAGCTTAACCTGTACAGCCTGGAAACTTAGGCTCCCTCCCAGTGTTTCCTTCTCTACTCCCTGCCTGTGAGGCCATAAGCCAGTCCCTCCTCTGTGAGCCTCAGTTTTCTCACCTGAACATGGGAATAATCATCCCACCTTGTATTAGCTCTTGGAAAGTTCTGGGGAGCCCAGGAAAGTGAGCATTTTGAAAATGGTTGAATGTGAGTCACATGCTACCTTTCTTTACCTTTTTCATACATTCGTTCCCTGAGTCAGAATACTCAGGAGTGGGCCAGCCTGGGCCTCAGCACAGAGGACAGCACTCTTTGAAGGAGGAGCTCTTCTTTTGGAATTACCCAGCTCCCCCTCACTACCCCCTCACCCCCCGCAATAGTGGCAACATGGGCCTGACCCTGACATCATCATGGAGCCCAGGAAATGTAGTGAGTGTGACCTTGTCTGTCCTTATATCCCTGCCTCTCCTTCACCATGGTACCACCAGCCTAAATGTCACCACTGGATCCACCAGTGGGAGGAATGAGCCATCCCTGTCATCTCCATCCCTGTCATTTCTCAGCCCCACAGCCCCTACAGGAGTAACAGAATGTGGAATGGTGAGGGGGTGAGGGGGTGGGGGGGGCTCTAGTCAGGAAAGCTTCAATTGGGGGACTGAAGACCTTGCTCAAAATTATTCTTCCTCTGAACTTGTTTCCTGGGGTCGGGGAAGGCAGCAGGTGGTCTTCTAGGCGACCAGATGGCATATTAGGTAGACATGGGTAACTGCTACTGCCTGGAAGGGGCCCACCATTACACACCTGACATTCTGGAAAGTGGGTGGGTGAATACGGAGTAGGTCAGTGGTTACCTGCCTGGACTCTGGAGCCAGATGTCCTGGGTTCTAATCCTATCTTGGCCACTTACCTGTCAGGCACATAAAGTTAGATATAATCCCTGTGCCTCAGTATCCCCATCTGTACAATGGGGGTAAGAGTGTCTACCTCCTAGAAGAGTGCTGGATACAGAGGGGTCCTTACAACACCAGATCTGACTCTCACGTGGCAATTTTAACCTCCCCCTTACCTCTGCATGCTCTATCCGGATGCTGCCTTTGCATATGTACAGCTTCTTTCAAGAATTGGCCAATGTGTCACCCTGAACAACCTGCTTCCCCTTCCCCCAGCAGGGTATGGTGCCCCTGTGATGTTCATAAATGCTGAGTTCTCTTCTGAGCTAAGTAAGCCCCGACTAGCCAGACCAGGGAGCCTCGCTGGACAGGGCTGGGTATGACCAACTCTGTGCCCCCACCATCCCCGGGCATAGGGGAGCTCTTTATGGAAAGGAAGACGCCTATATGGTGCCATGTTTGGGACCTTGAGATGAGTTCGATCTCTGCTTCTCTTCCTCCCTGCCCTTCCCCAGGCTAAGTCCGGAGCCTTCCCTGGGCTCCCACATACTTGGGGGCTTTCCTTATCACACCGTCCATTACTCTAGGTGTCACTGTTTGGTCGTTGTCATACTAAGCCTGGACATAGACTTACATCCACACAGAGGTGGGAGCGTGGGATGGTGGTGAAGGGCGTTTTGCAAGGATTGTTTAAGCATCAGATCAGCTCCCCTGTACGATGCATTTTGGACTGATTCCTGACTCAGTTCTGTTCATAGGGACCCTGTCCCCCTCACCTCGTAGAAGCCCTCCCAGGCCTGCTAAAGACCAGCGTTTGCCAATGCCCCCGCCCTGACTCTCTGCGGAGCACCTGCGGTTAGAGACCTCGGAGACGCGGACCAGAGAAGGTCTCCGCGGCTGCCTGGGATCGATGCATGAAGAGATTCCAGGGCGGTGGTGGAGGAAGGGCCCAATCCCTGAGATGACCCAGCGGAGGAAAAGCCCGGTCGTCACCAGTTTGCCAAGACTACAAGTCCCAGGAGTCCGAGCGGCAGGCCTTTCCCTTCTTCCCAGAACCACGTTTCCCAGCAGCCATCGGGAACGTCATGGAAGTCCTCTCGAAAATCCCGCCCCCTCCTCCCAAGTGACAGGTAGGAACTTGGCCGTCTCCAATCACAGCTCACACCCCTCCCCCCCCCACAACCCCGCCGGGCCTCGCCCCAAACGTATTTTGGGAAATGTAGTCCCGTTACGCGTCAACGGGGAGAAAAACCCAAAGTCGAAGTCTTGACATTCATTTAGGCTTAGATTGTAACCAGTGCTCAGACCTTTCCAAGAGTTTTTAAAAATACAGGTGAATTTCCACGGATAATTGTAAATTGGTAATAAGCGTCTTTTAAAACATAAGTGCATAGAAAATATGAAAATGCATAGAAAACGGGAACAAATACTTCTCAAAATATGAGTATCTTGAATATGTACTAAATTACAACATAAAATACGACATAAAAATTCTTCCTTGGCCTCGAAAAAAATGGCTAAATACTGGTCCAAACTAAACTTAGTTTCCCAAAAAAAAAAGCACACACACTTTTTGTTTGGAAATAATCTCAAGCTTACAGATAACCTGCCCAAACACAAATAGTTTCTACCCAGATTTATCTGTTGTTAACAGTTTACCCCATTGCTTTGGATTTATCATTACTTATTCATCCATCCATCCATCCATCCATCCAACACCCACCCATCCGTCCTAACCCAATTAGCAGGAACAAATTAAAATCAGGTTTACTGACCAGTTGGAGGGAAGGAGACCACATCCCAAAAGAGAAGCTGTGATCAACTTACGGCATTCGGGGGAAGAGAAGAATTTGGTGAAATTTGAGTGAAACTGTGGTTTGGTAGCTTCAGAGCAAAGCAGGAATGTGTATAAATGAGTCAACAGTTATGGACTGCAAAGTGGACTCAGGATCCTGTTTCCTTGGAAACTACAAAGTTAAGATAAACGTGGCATGCTATGCCCAGAAACTCTATATAAAGCTCTTCATCAGGGCTGGAAATTGAGGCTTCTTGTCTGTGTCAAAGTGACGTAGATCTTCCGGGAAAAGTGGGCTAAGTTCCATTCCTACAGATAGACTTTCAAACAACAAAGTTTCGTAAAGCCTGTGATTTTAGAGAACAAACTTCCTCAGTGAGTAAGAGAGCAGTCCTTGCTCACAAAGCGGGTGGTAAGACCCTTCACAGGTACTGCATATCCCTGGGAGAAATGTTGCCGATTGACTCTGCCCCGAACCTTACCTGTGTGTGTAGATAAATGGTAGGCAGAAGTTTACAGTCCGAGCTGGTTTTAGTTTCTCAGTAAGTGCATCTATTTTCTGAAGCATGTTTTAGTTACATACACTGTCGCCCTTTACCCCTGAATACTTCTGTGTGTATTTCCTAAAAACAGAGATGCTCTCTTACTTATCCATGGTCCTCAACCTCAATAAACGTAACATTTACTGATTCTTTTTATCTAATGTCTTGAGCCATCAGTTTCATCAGTTGACCCAAATGCTCTCTCACAGCACTTTCCCCTTCCAGTTCAGGATCTAGTCTGGGCTCAGGGATTGCATTTTGTTGTCACATCTCCTTGAATCTGGAACATTTCCATATTTATGATATCGACATTTTGGAAGAACAACCCAACCTTTTTTTTTTTTTCTTTTTTTAAATAGGAGTTCCTCCCTTGAGTTTGCCTGACGTTTCCAAATGGTGATCCGACTCAGGGTACTCATTCTCCGCCACAATATACGAGGTGAAGTGTGTCCTTCCTCCTTATGGTCAGTTGAGGGAAGCATGGAGAGCATGGAATGATTGCTTTTGTTTTAGGTCCTGTTTCTCTCCTCAGTGGTTCACTTTGAACATGGCCCCCTCCTGGCTTCTACAGGCTTTTCCGTGCCAGCCCCGTGTTCTTTATTCATTCATTTGAACAACCTCTTCTCTGCTCCAGCCCCAAGCTACCACCGCCTCTTAAAATGCCAGCCTCTGTCATTCCAGCAGCAAGTCGCTTTTTCCCCAAAGCACAGGTGGTTGTGTGAGCCAGGCCAGATGGCAGCATGAGCCTGGTTTTGGAAATTCTTGCAGGAGGCAAGTAACCTTCCCTTCTCAGTCTATTTCCACCTACTCCAAATGCAACTGGACTTCGGCTTCTAACCCTGAGCCGTGACAGCTCCTGGCAGCCTTCCGGGCAGGAAGCCAGAGCTGGGGTGGATTTGGAGGACAGAGGTGGCGGGAAGTAGAACACTGGCTCTGCCTTCAAAACAATCTTTTGGGCAGTGGTGGGTACATGCAAAATAATCTGTGTGTAAGGACCGAGGTACAGGGAGACCGCCCATTAATTTACCATCCGATTTAATACTAGGACATTATTATTTACTACTCTTTCCTTCATGCCCACCTGTAACCACGATCCTGAATCATGTCTATCCTTCACTCAATTTCCATGATTACTTTGGCACGTATATACGTGTCCCCAAACAGCACATGATTTCTTTTTGCCTGTTTTTGAGCTTTGTAGCAAGAATATCTGCGTTAGTATTCTAGAGTTAGTATTCTAGAGTATTCTAGAGTTAGTATTCTAGAGTATTCTAGAAGTATCAAAGACAGGGTAGCTTAAACAACAGAAATGGTATTTCTCACCGTCCTGGAAGCTGGAAGTTGAAGATGCAGGTCACCAGGCAGGCTGCCTTTTCTTTGTGTCCTCACCCGGTCTTCTGTCTGTGCTTAGGCATTCTGGTGTCTCTCTCTGTGTCCAGATGTCCTCTTATGAAGGATACCAATCAGCTTGGATTAGGGCCGACTCTAAGGGCTTCCTTTTAAAGCCCTTAATTTGGAGGACCTGGCTCAGTGGGTTAAGTGTCTGCCTTCGGCTCAGGTCATGATCCCAGGGTCCTGGGATCGAGCCCTGCATCGGGCTTCCTACTCAGCCGGGAGCCTGCTTCTCCCTCTCCCACTCCCCTTGCTTGTGCTCTCTCTTTCTAATGACCTTATTTCAAAATACAGTCACATTCTAAGGTGCTGGGCTTCAACATAGGAATCTGTGGTGAGGGGCAAAAATCTGGCCCATTACCATATTTTACTATATGCAGCTATAGATGCAGCTAGCTTTTTTTTTTTTCTTTAAGATTTTATTCTTTAAGTAATCTCTAGGCTCAGCCTGGGGTTCATACTTACAGTCCCCTAGATCAAGAGTTGAATGTTCCATGACTGAGCCAGCCAGGCGCCCCAAGGTTTTTGTTTTTGTATTTAAATAAGAGTCTTTTTTTTAAAGATTTTATTTATTTATTTGACAGACAGAGATCACAAGTAGGCAGAGAGGCAGACAGAGAGAGGAAGGGAAGCAGGCTCCCTGCTGAGCAGAGAGCCCAGATGCGATGCTGGGCTCCATTCCAGGACTGCAGGGGTTTGATCCCAGGACCCTGAGATCATGACCTGAGCCG